TTGCAATTTCCCAAGGCTCAAAGGAAACTAAACTTTCGTCATGCTAAGCTGAAATATTCCACTTATGATAAAGAACTATATGCTATAATTTAAGCTCGCGCTATTAGGTGTGTTATCTTATTGGAGTGGAATTTTTCTTATATCAAACCATAAAGCTTTGCGATTTCCCAAAGCTCAAAGGAAACTAAACTTTTGTCATGTTAATTGGGTGGCTTATTTGGAGAAATTTAGTTTTTTGCTCAATTACAAATCGAGTTCATCAAACAAAATTTTTTATGTTTTAAGTTATAAGTTCAACCTATTAATGACACTTTCCTATGAGATTATTGGCTTTGATTTGATGTTTGAGTATTATACAGCTGATCCTTTCTTTTCCAAAGTTTTATAAGAGTTAAAATATAAGAATGGTAAAGATTACGTGCTCATGAATAATTGTCTTTTTAAAGAAAATTAGCTTTGCTTACCGAAGGATCATTATGATTATTTGTCATCGAAGAGCCACATAGTGGTGGACTTAGAGGCCATTTTGGGAGAGATAAAATTAAAGCTCTTGTTAAAAAGAGATACTTTTGGCCAACCTTAAAAAGGTATGTTGCTCGTTTTGTGTAAAGGTGTTTTGTTTGTCAAAGAGCTAAAGGAGGAGTTCAAAATACCGGTTTGTATCAATCCTTTCCTATTTCAAACTTCTCTTAGAAAGATCTTTCAATGGATTTTGTTGTTGGATTACCAAAGACATAATATGGATATGATAACATTTTATCATTGTTGATAGATTTTCTAAAATGGCTCATTTCATTCTTTGTAAAACCTCTATTGATACTTCACATATGGTCGACTTGTTTTTTAAAAAAGTTGTCCATTTGTATAGAGTTCCAAGGTGTATTACTTCGATCGTGACGTGTGATTTGTGAGTCATTTTTTGAAGACTCTTTGGAAGCTACTCGGGCACTAAAATTTAGTTTCTAGTGCATACAATCCTTAAACGAGATGGTTAAACCGAGGTGATAAATTGCTCATTAGGAAACTTATTGAGGAGTTTGGTTAGTGAAAATCCTACGCGATTGGACTTTATCTTTTCTCAAGTTGATTTTGCATATAAAAATTCTTTCAATCGATCAACAAAGAAAGCTCCATTTGAAGTAGTCTATATAGAAGGAATGCTCGACATGTTTTAGATCTTGTGCAATTAGCTAATCAACCACGGGTTAGCATGGAAGTTGAAGAAGTTACTCGCTCACATCGATTTGTACATGATCGGGTTTGGAACCACTTGAAACATGCTTCTCACTTTTATATATCTCAAATAGATACTCATAAAAGAAAAATAGAGTAAAAGGTGAACTCGCTATGGTTTATCTTTGAAAAGAGAGATTTCCTACTAGGACATACAATAAACTCAAGCAATGAAAGTTGGAGGACGTACATCATGACTATACTCGACGGCTCTCAGGAGGTGGAGAGCAAATACAAGGTGAAAAACCATATTATACAACAACGAATGTAAAAGGTGGAGTAGTTGTTAGACCTCCTTCTAACCCTCCCTATCTCCCCACTCGAGAGTCCACAGTTCCTCATAATACCCGAGCATCCAAAAGATGAAGTAGATGAGAACTACTTTTTTTTTTTAATTATTCTTTTTAATGTATTCATATACCGGATGGTATTGATATATATTAGATTTGATTTTACATTCATTTAATTTTATTCAATAACATTTTGTGTTATAATTTTAATTTTAATTGTTGGCTACTACAACGTAACATTTAAACACCTATTAACAAAAAAAAAAAAAAAGTCCTTACTCGTAATGATAAAAAAAATAAATTAAATAATCAGCAATGAAAAATAGCCACCGAAAAAAATAGTAATGGACACTAGTGACGGATTAGTGATTGAAATTAGTAATAAAATTTAGCAACGATTTCCATCTCTATATAACAATGGAAAAAAACTAATCACCGACGGTTTGACAATGCATTTCACACCAAATATATGATTTTTTACAACAAAATAGTGATAGAAATACGTCGCAATAGCGACAATATGTTTATCACTAATTAGCTACAAAAGTTCTATTCGTCGCTAAACAAATTAGCGACAAGCATTTGAGCGATGATTTGTTTTCGTCACTAAACCAATGTAGCAATGGAGCTTATTGGTTTAACGAGGGAAATTTCCATCGCTATTTATATATATGGTAATGATATTTTCAAGATTAAAGATGATTTATTTGCTTTTCTTTATGGCAAGAATTCAAAAAAATTGGTCCACCTTTTGTTTGGTATTAGGTAATTATAAATTAATCCCTTTTAGTTTTGTAAAATGAATTAAATAGTTTCTCTAATTTTGAAAACTAATTAACTAGTCATTTTCATCCATTTTATATTTTTTTCTAATTTACTTTTTTAAAAGAAATAGAAAACATATAAAAATAATAATAAATAGATGGATATTGAGAAAAGTTTGATGAAAAAATATTTTTTGAAATAAATTAATATCAAATTAAACATGATCAGCAATGGTGAAACGAATAACTAATTAATTTTTAAAAGTAGAGAAACTATTGAATTCATTTTGCGAAAAAATAGAGGGACAAATTTATAATTTACTCATTTAGAAATTAATGCTAGGTGAATTTTCCTCTAATCCCCAATATTCTTGAACGATTCCATCCATGAATACATTATGCAGATCAATTGTATAAAACGTTCCTTTATTATTTTGATCTTTTAATATGATATTTGTGCTTTTTTTTCTATTCATCACCTCAATTTATCTTTAAATTTTTCTTAATGTGTCTCTTTGATTATTTTTTTTTCAATTTTTTCGATCAAAACTGATGGCTGGTACAAAAAGTTTACGTGGCATGTGTCAGATTAATTTACCACTAAAAAACAAAAAACCATTAAAATTACGAAATTGCCTCCGATCGCCTTTCAAAATTTTAATCCTTCTCTTTAAATTTTCCAATATTTCCTTCTTTGAAAAATTCAAGTCTGTTGAGTTATAGTCCGTCAAAGCAGAATAAATTACAGACGTGAAACTAGCTAACATACTTAACATGAAGCTTATGAAGGCGCTCAAATCCAGATTTAACATATCTACATGAAATGTACCCTTGTGTTAACATTCGTTCTCAAGTGGTTAATTTTGATTACTAATTAGAAAAAAATATGAAATTGGAGATAAATCTGGCAATGATCACAAATACACGTTGATAAGAGAATTTATAAATAAATACAAAAACCTTAAGTTCATCGCGAGGGACATAGCAAAAGGGAAAAGTTCTACAGCACAGGGGACGAGGTATCTGACCTTGGTTAATCGAATAGATTTACATCCTGGGCAAATTTTACTCTAAATCTGTATAATTTCAGACAAGAAGTACGGATGCACTATTGTGTACGGAAAATTTATAACACCAAAATGACCTGAAAGTGATATAATATATTAAGCACAATCTCTGGTAGCTCATCTGTCAACATAATTGAAGTAGATGTCCACAATACCTTCACATAATTTTAATTAAATCCCTAGAGCACAGCGAAGATGGATTTGGAAGTCCCAGCTTAGGATCAGTGACCACACTTACGGCATCGATCTTTAGAACAGAAAGATTTTCCTGTCACAATCAATTATTTGATAAGAAAAACGCTCTACCTCATAAAACTAGAAGTATCAATCACCAGCGAAACTTGTGTAGAGATTGGATGACAATTTTATCGATCATATCCTTAAAAGGTAGCGTATCTAAATTTTGAAACTATCAGTATCAATCAGTAAGCCAAAATAGAACTCAGAAGTAGCATTGGACGCCAAAAAGAGTTTCGGAAACATAAAGAAACTTGATGGAAGTAAATTTAACAAACCGAAAGAAATGAAAAGCCTTAAGGGCTCTGGAGAATCACTGGGTTTATAGTGAGACACGAATTCTAGAACCTCATTGGGCGGTGTGGATGCTGTCATGGTGATCATAGCAGATACACCACCATTTATTACTATGATGACCCTGCCTTTCTCATTTCAATTTTTTACAAAAAAAGACCCAACAAAAAAAAAATGCATACTTTTTCCGCGTTAGTTGAAAGTTATCCCAGTTATCAGAGCAGATGGCACTTGCTGTTTAAGTATGAGAAGAAAGAAAGACTAGAAAATTTAAAGAGAAGGTTTGAAAAATCTGAGAAGTGATTGAGGATAGTTTTGTAATTTTCTTTTTCATTCATTCATTTTTTTTCAAATGGCAAATTAATATGACATTTGAAATTTTTTATGCCAATTGTCAATTTTGATAAAAAAAAAAAAACGATCAAAAAACAATCAAAACAGCCACATTAAGAAAAATTCAAGAATAGAAAGAGATGACGAATAAAAAAAGTATAGGAGCTATATTAGAAAAATCAAAAGAGTAGAGGGACATTTCATGCTATTAATTTTTTATGTTTCATTTTTGTTTTTTCATTCTTTTTATTTTTTGTACGTGATAAATTAATCTAAAATGTCATGTGATTTGCTATTTTTTATGTCAGCTATCAATTTTGATCAAAATATTGGTTAGAAAACAATCGGAAGGGTCAAATTTAAAAAAAAAAAAAAGAATACAAAGAGATGATAAAAATATATATATATATATATATATATATATATATATATATATATATATATATATATAAGAGCTGCATTAAAAAAAAATCAAAAGAATAGAGGTACTTTTCATGCTATTAGTCCTACATTATACGCATGTGCAGATGTACATTACTGCTTTCTTGGTTTTGTGCAAATCATACATCTGTACGATCCACAAGCGTACTAAAACCACGCATCCTTCATTAATCTTCATACAACAACATGCCCATTTGCTCCTATCTAGTAGTACAATGGAGTACAAATTGTGTAATAATAGAAATAAAAGAATCCATATCAAGTACTACTATATATGGTGACTGAGTGTAGTACATTTGATGAAAGTACTGGTTTTGTCGTGCTATATATAGATATAACAGCCAGGAACGAAGCACCATTGGGTTTCATCACGCAAAGTTGTGCAAAATATAGCGGAAGACAAAGAGGCCTACGATTGTGGAGGATTCCTACAGGAGCGACCTGGGATCACATGTGAACGACACCCTCCTGGGTTCTTTTGTGCTACATGTGTTCTCAGGTCGCCCCTGCCGGGCTTTCCTCCATACCTACATGTCAGTGGTGGCCCAACTCTAATGGTGTGCTTTCAGCCATTGAATCGTCCCCGAGTTGGACGCTTCAAGCCAACATTGTCCTTTGTTCAGATTTTTTGGACGTTATTAATTTTTTAAGATTAAAGGTGGCATCCCTCTCCTTTTTATTTTATTTATTTATTTATTTATAACCTTCTTAGTTATCTAGTTACAGCAGCTAAGGGTTACTCTCTTGTTAAAAATTGGAAAGCATCAAACAGCACTATAAATTAGTTTCAATATCCACACGATGCGACCCATGAACCAAAAACTCAAGGCCTTGTAATTACAACATCACTTGCAATTTTCGATTTTATGTTGTTCTTTTACGCAAATGGACAAGCATGAATATGAGAGCTCTTGTTATTGTTTTGCGCTAAAAGTTCTGCCCCTGTTGTGTTTGCTAATGCAGCACGTTGAACAAGATTAGAGCAATTACACTGCCAGCAGAGTACAGACCTACCTTAAGATAGCTGAAAGATGTTTACAAGAGCGATGGGAACAAACCTGAACAATATGATCACGAACAGATCAAAGTTTATGCTAGGCCATGTTTCCTAGTAACACACTCCCCATTGAAAATTTACCACTTCATCCGCGAGTTAAAAAAGCACCAATTGCTCATGTGCTGAGTGCCATGAAACCAGTTGGACCCTTGGCCATTTCTTTGCATAAATTCCAGTAATTTCACGTTCCCAGCCAAATGAAGCTGTTAAGAGGTGGCAAATGAATATCGACGAGAATAAATTGAGTAAATAACGCATCATAAAGAAACCAAAAATGTTCTCGTGGGGACTTCTACCACCAAAATCCTCACATCAGACATAATAGCAAGTAGCTCTTCTTCCCCTATTTTCTTCCAAACACCATTTATCATGAGGCAGCCTTTGTCATCTTTTGACAACAAAACATTCTCGCAATCTGATTCAAAATTGTCTGCTGTATCTCTCATCTTCTTAACACTTGATTTATCCAATGAATAAATATCACAACCAGCTTCTCTCTTGCTACCTGTCCTCTCGACACTAGGGTAATCTGATGAAGGAATATCTCCACTAGGTTCTCTTATGCTACCTTGTTTCAGTTCCCAGATCTGCTTCCTTTCTGATGATTGCACAGGCTTTTTACCACCATCGTCACAGTCAAGAACAGGAAGACGGCCAGAAGATCCAAGGTCACGAGGCAACATGCCAATTGGACATGGGTTCCATGATTTTGCCACAATCCATCTGCCCGACGTACCCACATTACCATCTGTTCTCTTAACAACTTTACTCTTTGTTCGGTGAAGTTTAACAAACTCTAGCTTCTTGGCAGCCTGATGGATGGATCGGTCTTGCTGGGTAAGAAGGTTATTCAAACTCGGAAGAGAAGACTTCTCTTGGGTAACATCTGGGTCTGATAAAGCTAGCAAACTTAGTTTTTTGAGTTTCTCCTTCACAGAGTTTTCACCCATCAAATGCGCAAGATGTAGTGCTGAATCCATAAGCTGCTTGTTGCCATATGAGGACACCAGAAGGCATTTACGGAGAACCTCCATCAGGATTGAGTTTGATAAATTCATTCCTATTGAAGTGGCTTTGTTTTCAGCTGCAGATTCTTTGCAGCGAAGGGGCTTTAGTCCCTTGAGCTGTCCAACGAGCCATGCAACCAAGGAAGAAAGTTGTTCAATTTGGCGATTCTCTGTTCCGTACTCCCATGATGTGACATGTGTTCCTAAACAAGATTTCAGAAGAGGTCAATAAAGAGAAATGAAATTGGAACCATTTACATGATTATCATTATGGAACTTTTTTAAGCTATTGTGTATGGTTACAGGCAGCGATATGCCAATCCACATCAAGCTGGCATTCATGGCAAACCGGATGATTACAAGGCTAATCAGATATAACTCAGAAACAAGGTTGAAAAGAGTTCAACAAATATAAGGTTGGTCAAGCCTAATTCACTAGCTCGATGATCACAAAAGTTTGTTCAACAAAGAAAAGTTGACGAGTGGGTTTGAAATGCAAAAACAAAATGTACATTGAAAGTTGACCACCAAATGATAGCCATCTGAAAGCAGTAGCATTTGGAATTTGTTGACCACCAAATTTCTGTCACTAAACCTATTTCTGTTGGAACTTCTTGCTAATAAACCAATATTCAAGTTGTGCTATTTCTGTTCATCCAGCGAACCAACAAAAAATATTAACTACGACCACAGTGCAAATGGAGAATATTAAGTTAAAATCTACTAAAAGTTCTGATTATCCTAACAGGACCTAAACAATAACCAAACAATAGCTACAGAAGACAAAAAGGATGAGTTTGTGCTTACCCATTTCATATTTCATGGCTTCTTGAGTGTCAATAATATTTAGAACTGCCTTAAGAAGCATAAGAAGTACTTCTGGTTCCTTCTTTGAGAATTTTGTAGTTACCAGCTTCCAATCATCCAACAATGTACACATGTCTTCGCCAACTATGCAATCTTTCGGAAGCTCCACCAAATTTGAGGAATCTAAAGCCTTGAGCAAGAACTCCAACAACACTGATAGTACTTCTGAGGAGAAGGAAGAATATAAACGAACAAGACTTTTCAATGTCTTGGTAATATTCTTCTTAGAACCTGAAGAAAGAAGTACGTCAGCAAATATATATGCCTCGGACATGCAGTTTTTTGGGTCATCCCAGGCATCGATCATGCTTCCAAATTTCAAACTTTATCACTGAGAATTTCTAAAACATTAAAAACTATTATCAAAAGTTCTGCACTTAGTATTCAAAACGAGCTATATCCCAAGACAAACAATATCAAGAATGAAAGAACCATAACTTGTAAATGTCTTTATTACTTTAAATATAATTGGAGCATATTATCTCACCCCCAGATTTGGATGAAGTGAGCGTGCTCGACACAAGTGTGAAAAACATATTACGGCCACAAAGCTGTTCACGATGTTTGCCACCTACAAAGGCCTGACAGTCAATGAGATTGAAATCCTAGAGTGGCAGCGATTAAACAAGTGTTGAAAATCAAATAAACAAAAAGTTGCTATGTCCTCAATGGAATAAGTTAAAAAAAAAAATTAATAATTTACATTCAGATCATGACTACAGTGTAGCAGTTTCGGTAACCATTCCATAATAAGAACAATTCATGCCTTTTTCTGAACTGACAAAAAATTGTGGAATGGCATACTGTATCATGACTCAGGCCAAGATGTTACTGTTTCAAGAATTAATCTTTCCACGAAATGGAAAAGCTAACGTGTTCTGAATATGGAGTAGTGAAAAAAATAAATACATAGACACAGCTCTGGTAGGTATGAAAACCAAACATGCTATGTAGACAAAAGTTTCCAAAGAGGATTACGATGAAAGCTAATATCAGCATCTGCACCTACTTCTAATTTGACAGGACACCTCTTTCACAAATTATGATTTCCCTGTTCTAGCCATCCTCGTCTTGTTAAGAAGGATTTACCCTTCTCTATGTTTAGTCATATAATAATGAATTTCTTGTTTAGTATGGAACGAAAATGCACAGTTGCATACTGGTCAATCAGTCAAAATAGTTAGAAAGAGCTAAAACACTTTAAGGCTTTATGAAATTTCTGCAATAAGGTCTTCTTTTGAATCACATTAACATTATTCCAAGGCCTTGTAATATCAAAAACGAGAAAATAAAATTGCATAGGCCTTTCATTGTCAAAAATGGAGAGAATAAAAGAAACTAAAATAGCATACGTACGTTTTGCTTTGATTGATGAAGAACCAGATTGGGGGCTCTTCTTAACTTTCAAGCAGAAAGCTAATTCACGGAGTTTAGATTTGATTTCTTTTCTGATGCTAGCAGTTCCATCTCTCTGGAATGGAATCTGCTTTGTCTGAGGCTCCCAATAATAAGATTTCAACCAATCAATTGCCTGAAATTTTCAGCAGCAGATGTTATAAGTTAAATTTTACAGACTTCAAAAGCAAACATGGCTTGTTAGTTAAACAATCCTGGGGAAGCTTGGTCCAACAGTTTCCCAAAAAGAAATTATGAAACATTGAAACAGGAGTTTTATTAGACCTAAATGCTAACTCTTAGGAGAGACAGCATACCTTAACAGCAGAATCCCGAACAAGTGCAAGAGCAGGAAGATCACGGTGAGAACCCTCTACAATCAAAGCAAAATATAAAAAAGACAAACAAGTTATAGATTTAGTCCAACAAAAAAATCAAGAATACTTCTCATCTCAAATTGATGAGATATTCACTGAAGCTGCCACCAAATTACACTAGCTCTGCTAGCATTTAAACAAATATTCAAGGAAAGTAAGCTAGATCCTCATTTGTGGATCAGGGAGAGGGGTAGAGGTTGGCTGTTGATACAGGATAGATTTGGACTAATTAGTACTTGTGTATTTGCAGTGAGTTAGCTTGGTTAAAATGGGGAGTTTAGGGGTCATGATATAAGAATTGAGGTTCGCAGTTCATCGTTGAGATGCATTGATGAGTGATATTGAGGACAAATGAATTGCTTCTACTGGATGGTGCTAGATTATGCTTTTAAGATTCTCAAGGCATCAACGTAACACCGAGATTAGGTCTATTCAAGTGTTTAATTAGAAGAGAAAGAGTTCAAAAATGATGGAATCAGTATTATGTAACAATAGGATGGACTTTGGGGCTGATTTGAGTGACAATAAGGGAAGCTTAGAGGCTTATAGGTTGATGACGACTTATAGTTGCAGCTAACTGAAAGACGAAGAGTAGGTACACAAATGAGACAGACCAGGGTTCATTTCTTGGTATAGTGGTCAATAGTCTTGGAGTTACAACCACATGAAATGATGAAAATGTTCGATTTTTTCCTTCAACTGATCCACTCAGATGGACCATAGCAGAGCAACATGCCTAAAAGCAAAATCCTCAGCAAGCACCAAAGAACTTGAATCCAAAGAAAATAATCCTAAAACAATTTGAGATTTTTAACGACTCTGCACTTGACTGTAAGTACATAGGTACCAAAAGACATATGCAAGGATTTCCAAAGTTAAGATTCTTCCTTTGCTTATAAACTAAATCATATAGAGCAACTAGCTTATGCTAAGAAAACACTTACCATGACGAACGTCAATCAGCGTGCGTGGAATACCTATTGCACCAGCTGCCTCAGCAATCGAAACCTCTGCTTTCTTCCTTGTCTTCTCAACAACACAGTTTACAAGCCTTCAGAAACAACACTCGGCAATATCAGCCTGCTATTTTTCATTATTGCAATTTTACGTGCGCATGCAGATAAAAGCAACATAACCAAATACAATCTTTAAGCATAAGGCCTCCAGAACTGATGTAAATATACTGCCCTAGTTTTTATGAAAGTTACACTGAAATCAGGTTAATTATATAAACCCACATAAATCATATGTTGTTTACTCCATCTTGATAAATGATTGAGTGTTTATATTACAAAATATTTCAGCAGATCTTAAAACAAGCAGAAATTTTCCAAATTCGAGTATATGTGATTAATGGACAAACATCAAAATGCTAACAAATTATTCTGTGTTAATATAGGGTTAATATGTTTCTATATCTAATTACTATTCTATTACTGAACTCCATTTCCAAGACTCTTTAAACTTATGGTGAAGATTTTCCACAGCTAATTGCTCCAGCATCTTCATAGCTATCAATGTGGCATGATTTCTTGGTCTATCATCAGTACATAAATAAGGAACTTTTCCTGACACAGCCTTCCAGATTTTTACCTCAAGATTGCCATAAAATATAGCAAAGAACCAATCATGGAAAAATACTTGACATCAGTACAATTGCAAGGCTAGAGAGAGACAATGATGAAATTCTAATCGAAAAAAGAAGAATGTAAGAACAATTTACCTCAAGATAGCCATACAATATAGCATTGCCAACATTTGCTCTGAATGTATAGCATCATCAGGCAAGTCTTTTCTACAATTAAAAAGGGGAACATTTTTAGAATACGCAAAAAAAAAAAAAATGTAAATTCATTCCAAAAATGCACAATTATAACATCGCATGACATTCTCACAGACGCAGAAGAACTAGCATGGTCATTGTACATTAAAGAACTGGCATAGGCCATTTGAATCAAGCAAACCATTTAAAACAGAAGGACCTCGGGCACTGCTCACTGAGACCGGAAACAAAGAGTTACCTGTACAAAGGATCCTTCTGTTGAACTTCAATGATCGAAGCAGTGACATCAATCACAACCGGTAAACATCCTCTGCTTCTCCATGTTGATATCTAAATCAGAAATACATAAGTAGAATTATTAGATTGGCAGCTGAGCACTAATTTAACAAAATAAAACCACAGCATGATTAGAAATATATTTTTCAGTCTTAAGCAGTGAAAAATATAGGATAACAGTTAAAATAATTAAAAGATGAAATAACATACTTTTTCCCTTACTTTTGGCAAACAAACAGAAAACTCAATTTAGAGAGAGAAAAAGTTGCGTCTTACTCTATCAATAGCGTAATGAATCTTCTCTGGAGAGTCGGAAAAGAGAGAATCTCTAACACATTCCCATTCGTTCCAGTTTAACCACGGGATCAATTTGTAGCCGTATGATGAAGAAGATAATGTTGATATCTCCTGATCATTCCCAACAACGGCTATCATTTCGTCTTGGAATCCTAACAGTGACTCCATTGATGAAACACCAATTAATCCGCTGCCACAGGCTTCTTCAAGCAAGGAAAGAAAAACTGAAAGTATCAAAATAGAAACCCTAATTTATCTTTTGTTGCGGCCGAATGGAATAATAATGGAACGGAGAGATTTTTGTCTGCAAAACGGCGAGGCCCGGGAGGGAAGGGTTTATGCGTTTATTGGGCTGCTTAGTAGGTACACTCCAAATTCTAGAACCCTGGAGATGTGGGCAAGGTCGAATCCGGGTCGATAATGTTTTTTTTTTTAGGGTATTTTTTAGAAAGTTTAGGTGCTTGGTTGGGACGTGGAATGGATGTCGTTACAGAAGGTTGAGGGCGTATTTATCGTTAACTAAACGGCCCGTGCAGCGCCCCTATTAAAGTTTAGCAATTTAGGCCCATGGATCTATTTTCGTACGCAAAGCGTAAACTTCATTAATTTGTATTAGATAGCAAGTATCAGGATCTGGGCCACGAGTGTTCTTAGGTCTACTTTCCTATATTATGATAAAATTTATCATAAACACTGTCATACCCCAATTTTTATCCATTTTTTTTTCTTTATTTTAGTTTCTTTAGTTCCTTTTTTTATTATTATTTATATTCATGTTTAATTTATTAAAATAACAAAATTAATTAATTTAGGAAATTAGAAAAAAAAGAATTTTTATTCATTATTTGGAATTTTATACAAAATACAAAAAAAAAAAAAGAGAGAGAGAAACAGAGATGGAGGGACAGTTTACAATTTTCCTCGAAGCTGTCAACTTCCAGCATCAAACAATTAATCATCAATGTGATGCAAATAATATTTTTTTTTTCGAGAGTTTCGTTCGAAGTCGGATAGCGACAAATGCTTTAATGATTAACATATAAAACACTACAAAAAAAATATTAAACAACGACAAAACTCAATGACGGATTAAAGTATGTCATTAAATAGCAATGGATAAGCAATTGAGTTGTGACTGTTGTCAAGGTGTGGATCTCGGCTATCAACGTGGGCTCGCTGAAGGATGTGCGGTAAAATGAGTCGTCATTTAGTTAATCGGAGAGAACTAGGAAACTTTAAATAAATCACTCTTGCAAAGATATTTAGATAAGAGGTCAATTATGTATTGGGAAGATAGGACATCATTGTTATCTCGTTCTATCTAAAGTAGATTGTATTGTTTGCATATGAAAATAAAAATCTAGTTTTTTTTACTATGTTATTTTTCTACACCTATTTGAATAAATTTATTTTAACGGGATGGAAAAATAGAGTATTTAGGGGTTTAGGTTAGTCCAAGACCGATACTCATACTCGGAGGAAAAAGCGGAGAGAGGTTGAAGTTTTTGCTAATCTTTAGCAAAACCGACCTATACCGAGAAGTAGGTGAGTTTCTAAAGATTGATAGTCTTTTATTAGAATGAGCGAGCAAGTCATCGACAACTTCACTTATACATGTGGGAAGCCACCGATAATTTCGAGTCACGAATTTAATAAGTTACCGACAACTTTGTCACATAGATGAAAAACCACCATAAACTTTATTTTGCTCGAGCAATAAGCAAACAATTGGTTTGGAAGTCGGTAATGACTTCGTCACATAAACGAGAAGTCCTTGATGGTTGCATTTTAGACTAATAGAGAATAAATAAAATAATTTCAAAGCTGCTCGGTGGCTTCATTACGGTAGTGAGAATTCTTGACAACTTCGATTCAATAATTTAAAAAATTGAGTAAGCCGATTCCGCAGTTACTAGCAACTCCATCAACATAAGTGGAAAACCATTGGTAGTTCCATTTCAAGCAAACCAAAAGCGAGTAAAATTATTTCAAAATCACTAAAGATTTCATTACATAAAAAGAAAGCCATCAATAGCTTCATTTTAAATTAACGGAAAGCAAGTAATTTATCACATTACAACGAGTATTATTTTTATCACGTGTGTGTATATATATATAGCTTTAACACTCGCAGGAAAAAATAAAATAATAAATGAAACAAGCTTTTGAAAGTGTGCTTTTAGATATATAGTTTTTTCTCATAAAAAAAACAATCTGATGTGTACGTAATATTTTCTATCATTAAAGTTTAGAATGACATATTTATTTATTAAAAAAAACCCCTTCACGTTATACACTTTACTTTTTTTTTCCTTAACAAATGGAGGTTCATTAAAACATGGATTCAACGTCAAATATTCTCCAAAACAAAAAAAGCAGAATAACCCAAGAATCTCTAGCTATTTTCTAAATTTGTCAGCGTCTCGTTTTCCAAAAGAATCTATGAAGTTATTATGAAAGAAAATTATAGACATTATGTTATTTATATTTCCCTTACATGTATCTAGATTCCAATGTCTATAAGTAAAATTATTTGGATAACCATTAAGATGATTATGAAAAAGATCCGTAATGATTTCATATTTTCCCCCACATATACCTCTCTTTTAATTTGTTATCTAAAACAGGAATAGATAATTTTTTAATCTAGAAATACCAATATAATTTTTCTTATAATGTAAATGATGACGTTTTTATTTTTATTTAATTTCTTAGGATTTTATGTATATTGAGATCCATACAATTCGATTTTTTTTTGTTAAGATCCTAACTTTTTTTTTTCTGTCCAATTTAAGAGTTCTACTCTTATGTTGTTATTGTTTTAGATTTTAACCAATGATAGCTTGTCATGTGTACGTTCTAGCCAATGACGACTTACTATATCACCGATTCAATCACTCAATTTGGACTCACCACGTGATAAGCTATCATTGGTTAGAGCTAATCAAATTTTCTTACATAGTATATTAGGATTTGAAATAACAAAAACGTGATAATAGAACTCTTAAATTGGATTAAAAAAAAAACTCAAGGTTTTAATAAAAAAATTCGAATTGTATTGAGTTTTGATACGTATAAAACCCTAATTTCTCATATACAAATGATCGGCTTTCATTATACAATTGCATTAATTAATATCATTAATAAATAAATAAATTAAAAAAATATTAAAGTAAAGTTTTATTGAGTTAAATGTTTCATATTTTATCTCATAACATTATTATTATTATTATTTTAATGAATAAACAAAATTTAAATTATCGCTGCACCAATTTTTTTTAATTGCAAACTTAACCCTAAAAAGTATTATCTTAACCGAATCCTCATGAATCCAAAGTTGAATTCCTTTTATTGTTTTTTACGGTATATCAAATATATATCGGCTATTTCCCGGCATTGGATTATGTGCATACAGGCATGATCCTGATATGGAGACGTTTTTTGTTCTTCCTATTCTCTCGCCAATCAAATCAAAGAAGAAAAACGGCTCTCAACGTGTCCGCTGGAAGGTCAAAAATAGGCATCTTGGCGTCTAAAACGGCCTAAAAGTCTGAGTGCGAGACAAAGAGAGCTCACTCTCATCAAATTCAATCAATGGCTTATCATTTCTATCTCTTCTTCTCACTCTCTTTTCTTCTCTTTACTTCTTGTCCTTCAAATTCACAATCCAACCAGGTATTTCACACTACTACCACTACCTTAATCTTTGAATTTCCTTAATTGCCTCAATTCATGATTGGTTTCTAAGTGAATTTGAGTTGACTTTCTGTTTGGACCCCGAGAAAGTGAAAACGCAATCAACCTTTTTTCCCCTCGTGCTGACTCATCGATCAATGAAGACAAGTAATCTGACTTGCAAAGAAAAAAGAAATTTGAAAATTTTTGGTGTATTTTTTCACAGTTTTGTGAAGCTGGGATTGGATATAGTGAGGCTGGATGTGGAATTTCATCATCAACAAAGCTGTTGATCAAGGGAGGAACTGTCGTGAATGCACACCATCAAGAGGTTGCTGATGTTTACGTAGAGGATGGGATTATTTTCGCTGTCAAGCCTAATCTCAAGGTATAATATATCCTCAATCTCTCTCCTTTTTTTTTTCTTTGTGCACTGTTGCTTAGGCCTTACTAGAAATTAATTTAACTTTCATCTTTTTTTACCCAAAAGTTGTTTGAGAATCGGTCAACAAAAATAAAAAGAAAATTGATCTTTTTTAACTGTTTGCAAGGGTTGGATTTTTTTTTTAAAAGATTAAGACATAACGAAAATAGTCGTAGTGGAAGTTCTAAAAATGATTTTTTAGGAAGAATTATTTCAAATTCTTCGATGAAGTGTCTTCGAAATGGTAGGAGATGATTTCCCAGACTACGAATTTCAAATAGTTATGATGTCATATATAGCAACAATTTTGAAACTCTCTAGTGCCTTAATAGCTTACTAGCTTGTACCATAGAAAGGAGAGGAAGCGTGATGTTGATTTGTTATCCTTGATTGAAGCAAAGAGGCAAATTTTCTATATTTTACTGAACAAAAAAAATGGAGAGAAGACAGTTTGTTTTACTTCTTGCTAACTTCACATGGGCATTGGTCATGACCTTGTGCAGATGCAAAGAGGAACAGAGTATTCTATTGCTAAATTTTAAATGGATTGCCGTGCATCTGACTGGAAATTCATGTGGTGATAAAGTTTGGTCGTTAGGGGATTTAAATTATTTGCAGTCATGATCACATATTAATGACACCTTGAATCTAGCATTAGAAAATCTGGATTCTCTATATGTGGATCCAAAATTCACAGATTCTTACATGAGAAATCCAAGGAGTACTATCAGTTAGACACGCTGGATGTCTTCCTCGAAATATTTCAGGCTTGGTACGACATTTTGGTTGCAAATACAATATAAGCCTACCTAACTTGCTAAATAAGTTACATAAAGTGCAGATTTCTGGGATGCCATAATACTACGCTTCTAGCAGCTCAAGGTTCATGGCTGCTTATGCCTGCCTGATAGCTGTTTCACTTTAAATCTGCTTTGTTAAGAGTGTGATACACATTTGTTACCCTTTTGTGGTGCTAAGTTATGTGGTTTCTTAATGCTTTGTTTTGGCTGTTAGTGCTTTGGCTTCGCTTTGTGGTCTTTCATACTTAGTTTTCAATTGTTTGGTTGCTATTGGCAGGTTGGTGATGATGTTAAAGTGATTGATGCCACTGGAAAGTTTGTCATGCCAGGTTAGTTGTGGTATTATTGCTTCATGATAGATTGATGTTGGTGTTTTAACCTTTCTAACTGCAGAATTGACTGCAGGACTTCTTTTGTATGCTTCCCTTATCCCATACACTAGGATTTCCTTGTATCTTTATTTCTTTCTTACACTAATCTTATTATAAAAAATATGAAAGCTTTAGGGATATAGTTATCGCTTGTCTACCTCTCTTCCATTCAATTGTTGTTGCAGTTCAAACAGTATTTTGGAATGTAAACGAGTCAGGCACACTATCCAGTCCCTATGCTTCTATAATAAACTTGATAAATCTGTATAATGCAATAATTACCATACTAGAAAGGTTCTTAGATACTTTCTATCAATGTTTTCTGCACTGCACTTTATAAAATTTTGTTTTTGTTATGGGATATGATGTAGAGAGTGTATCATTTAGTTCAGTCATTTCTGTATATGCGTGTTCATTATGAACACTTATTGTGAATTCTTTCCTCTATTTTAGAAGTAATTTGAGTGTATAACGACAATCTGGCTTGCTGTTATTGCCAATTCAGGGTTTAAATACTTAATGCAAACCATTCCATTTTATGGCTGCATCTTCTCCTTGTAACATCAACAGGTGGAATTGATCCTCACACACACCTTGCTATGGAGTTTATGGGCACTGAATCTGTTGACGACTTTTTCAGTGGTCAGGCAGCAGCATTAGCTGGTGGAACCACAATGCATATTGACTTTGTTATACCGGTAAATGGCAGTTTAATAGCAGGTTTAGAAGCATATGAGGAAAAGGCAAAGAAATCGTGCATGGATTATGGTTTTCATATGGCAATCACTAAGTTTGATGACATTGTTTCAAGGGATATGGAAATTGTGGTGAAGGAAAAAGGTTGGTATTTTTGTTCGAGGTCATAAACAGATTCTTTCAAGAATATATTTTCAATTTATATCGATGGACCTCGTAAACAACAACTTCTGGCTATTTATTTTTGTATTTAAAATCTACATGTATTTAAAACTTGCAGGTATCAACTCTTTTAAGTTTTTTCTAGCATACAAGGGGGCCCTTATGGTCAACGATGAGCTTCTATTAGAAGGATTGAAGCGGTGCAAGTCTCTTGGTGCATTAGCCATGGTCCATGCAGAAAATGGAGATGCCGTATTTGAAGGACAGAAAAGAATGATACAACTTGGTATAACTGGTCCAGAAGGACATGCTCTTTCAAGGCCCCCAGTGGTAATCCTTCAAATGCCAGCTGAGCGATCTATGTGCTTCACTCTAAAATTTGTGTGAAGCCCTACCCACCCATATCATGCTAATAATTTTCTAATAGCCTGTAGACCGAATCTACTTTCTTTATCTTTGGTTGAATTAGTTGTTCCAATTTTTTTTAGTAATTCTCTTTTCTTGTTCCTCTATGATGTGTTGATTTTTCCTGGGATGATTTAGTGCTGAGGCTGATGACCAATGTGTGAGAGAATGTGGCAGACAGCTTTTACCTTTTTTTTTCCATTCCGTGTTTAGTTGATCTTATGTAGTAAGAGATATCTGCTGTATTTTATGATTATCACAGGATTGTGCAATCGTGTATTTGAGCTGGAGAAATGGTTCGTGTCTGATCCTTTTAAGAATGAATTCCTTAGCTAAGAAGATTTGCTTAGTTCAGCATTTTTTTTCTTTTATACTGATCTCTAATAGATAACACTTCTTGTTAAGCAGATATGTATTTCTATTATATGGTTTTCCATTTCCTTAAGGATTATTTGAAGTATATATATCTTTTCTTTTATAATTTAGCATTTAGTTTGATTCTAATGCAGCTGGAAGGAGAGGCAACTGCTCGAGCAATTCGTTTAGCTGGTTTTGTGAACACACCTCTCTATGTAGTTCATGTGATGAGCATTGATGCCATGGAAGAAATAGCCAAAGCTCGAAAATCAGGTTTAAATTTTTTTAATATTTGGTTCTCTTGTTTGCTGAGGGAGTTTTACATTACTTTAGTTAATTACAATTCTCACCATTGCTAATAGATTCTGACAAACATATAAAAGAAAGTGTTGCTTACAGGGAAGTACATATCCATGAGTTTATAAGAGAATGGATAAGTTCTGTAACAGAAAGAAACAGTTAAATTTGACGTCTTCATCCCATATATTTCGTGTATATTCTTATGCCTTTTCTCTTAAATTAGTATTACTTAGGTAGCCAGGTTCAGTAACACTCATCAGTGTGAGATAATAGATATTGTCCGAAACAAGCACATTGAAAATTTGGCTGGAAAGAGTAGCTGACTGTAGAGAATATATAGTAATACTTCTGGAATACAGGCTGGATAAGTCATGTTTATTAAGCATGTTTAAGTAATACAGAAGATAAATGAGTCCATCATGTCCAATCTAATTTTTACTTTTTCCATGTGATCTCCAAAAACTGGAGTGGCCATAAATCTTTCACAGGATTATTAGTTAATTTTACCATATATGAATGTGCGAGTAGGGATGATGTCCCATTTGAAGCATTTATATTTGTTACCTGACTTCTCTATGTGCTTCTTGCAATTGTGTCAGGCACTATTGCCAGTAATTTTGATGGTTGCTTGTTCCTACTTGCAATTGATTTCGTACCATAATCAGCCACTTCCATTCCCATCTTTAATTTTGATTGTGCTATATTGTATTCATTTTTTTTTCTTTTTCAAAACATGAAAGCCTGATTACTTTCATCAAACTGCAGGACAGAGAGTTGTAGGTGAGCCTGTGGTTTCTGGATTGGTCCTTGATGATTCAGGGCTTTGGGATTCTGACTTTGCCACTGCATCAAAGTAAGAACTAGCATTCTGTTCATCATCATTATTATTGTTGAAAGGAGGGGTGGGAGGTGGGCGCGTTTGGTCAATCTGTCATATATATTGCCAAGCATTAATATATTCTCATGTTTCAGGTATGTCATGAGCCCCCCTATAAGAGCATCAGGACATGGCAAAGCCCTGCAAGGTGCCCTTTCAAATGGTGTTCTGCAGGTTTCTCTCTTGTTATCATAAAAATATTGCTGGAGTAACAGTTGATACTTTAAAGATACCCGAGATCATCTGATTTCTATACAGCTAATTTTGGTGACAAATTAGTTTCATGCTCTGGAAAAGTATGACGTGTGGTCTCTTAAAATTTGGGATGGTGATCATATGCCTCAGAGACAATATATAGATCCAGATTCTCTAATCTTTTGAATCACCTTAGACATATTAATCAATTTACTCATTTAAGAACAATCTTGTAATCTGTTTCTCATGTCACTATTTACAATTTGCAGCTGGTAGGAACTGATCATTGTGCATTTAATTCCACACAAAAAGCCTTCGGGATTGATGATTTCCGTAAAATTCCCAACGGTGTGAATGGTAATAAAAATTGATCCAGTGTTATTGCTAAAGTCAAATCTATGCCTCTTCTTATTATGTTGACTCAATTTAAGCCATTTTTTTCCTGCCAAATTTGGCAAATGAAAATGTAGGCATCGAGGAGAGGATGCATTTGGTTTGGGATACAATGGTGGTAAGCTTCTGTGACTCTTTGCTTAATCATTCTTACGGACTATATTAATTTAAATTGTTGTCCTCATATTGGTTGTCAACTAATTGTTGAGCATCTTTCAGGAATCTGGTCAAATTTCTATCACTGATTTTGTACGGGTCACAAGCACTGAATGGTATGCTTTGACTGTGATTCTATGTTATTTTAGTATCTATCTGTGAATCTTTTTATTCAGTTTCAGGGATGAGAAAGATAAAGTATAGGCCACATGTACAATTTGATGAACCACACTATTTAGCTTCATGAAGTGTGAAACCATTTTGATGCCTGTGAATTTTTCAGTGCTAGGATCTTCAACATATATCCAAGAAAAGGAGCAATTATTGCTGGATCTGATGCTGATATAATTATACTCAACCCAAACTCAAGCTTTGAAATAAATGCAAGGTCTCACCACTCTAGAACAGATACGAATGTTTATGAGGGCAGAAGAGGGAAGGTAATTTTTTAAATATAATTTGGTTCTCTTTTCTTTCGATAACAAGTGAAATTCAAAATACCTGTTAGCCTTTCTCACATAGGAGGCTTCACACCAATATAACTGTGACTAAAGCAACGGTATCCTAGGTCCTTAATTGTTGTCTATCATAGTATCATCTTTCAATGCCTCCAGTCAAAGTGGTTGGTGTCTTGCAGTTATTGTATTTTTAGCTTTTTTTGCGAGTAGCCGAGTATATATGTTCTATTCAAGATATTGCTTTTAGAGTTTGTCAAAACTATGGTGTCAAGAATGAGAAAATTGATAAAGATAAAAAAATTGCTACTTAGGTTCAGATCCATTACGACAGGTTATGGCGTCATTTGAGAGCCTGGAGTCACTATAATACTCTACCTATTAAGCATTTTAGAAGAAACAGATTCATGCTGCAACCCTTGGGTTGTGACCCAGGATCACCTTATTTGTCATCACCAGGATTTGTTCATGCCTTAAAGCTACGCTCACGCTTGTCACACTATGTTTATTATTATGATACATTTTCTTCTTAAATAATCTCTAGTAGAAATGTTGTCTGTTTATTGGCCGAGAAAATGAGATTAGAAATGAGAGAAATATGCCGGCACACAAGTATCCATGCATTGTTACAAGTGACGTGCATCTGCTAGTTACGCATGGTGTGTGTGTAAGCCAGCTCACACTTTCACACTCACCAGCATCATGTTTACATATTTTCGTATTCATATTTCATCCTAAACCTTGTTACTCCATGTTGGGTTTTGAAAGTTCATACCATTTTTTCTTCAGGGAAAGATTGAGGTGACAATTGCTGGGGGACGAGTTGTTTGGGAAAATAATGAAGTGAAGGTAGTTCCTGGCTCTGGCAAGTACATAGAAACGCCCCCTTACAATTATCTTTTCAGCGGAATTGACAAGGCTGACGCTTCATACCTATCATCCCTGAATGCTCCAGTTAAACGTTCTGAATCTACAACTTCAAGTGGCAGGCACTCCTACTAGGATTCTTCCTTCCTATTACATAATGCATCTAGAGAACCATACACACTACCAAATTTGTACAAAACTTAACCCAACTCTATTAAGCTTCAATTCTAATCTAATCTATTTCCAATAAACTTATTTTGAGTTATGTAATGCTAGTACATATTTAATAAATAAACTGGATTATCCATCTTCTGAAATGCTGATGAATGTCGATCGGTATAGGTCATATTACTACTTTTATAATCTGCTTATATTCCTTTTTGCTTTCTGATGGAAAGAACATACGCAAGTAGAAAGTCGAGCATAGTAAAAGAGGTGTACAGCAAAAGGTCTTGAATTCATGAACATGTCTTAACTATAGATTTACAAACTAGCAATTGAAATTTTAGTACTTGAAAATAGTGAGTGAGTTGATGGACCCTGGGTTCTTAGGAAATCAAGGCCTAATACAGCAATTAATGTAGGTCAAGATCTTCTTTCTCTTCTGCACGGCAATACAAGAAAAAGAAGAATTAGAAACAAAGCAGAGTGTAGCAGTTTGTTGATATTTTTTTATTCTTCTCCTCCCTCCTTACTGTTTCTCTCATTCTTTTTCATGATTTATGTAGCTTCCCTCATTAGGTCATACTCTGCCATGTAATGATCCATATGCGTTTACCAAAGACCAAGGGGATATGGACCATCACAAGGTGAGCATGTTAACAAATGAGGAAGTACAGAATTTAATCAAGCATGCAAAATAATATCTTTGTTATCCTAACTGTATAAATAAGATAAGAGTGAACTGTAGGCTCACCATGACAGGGTCTTCTTGTTGGTGAGCAGCAGCAAGCAATTCCCTTTCATTTCCAAGGCTGGCGTGCCTGACATCAGACTTATGCTGCTTCCTATTAGCTCGAGCTCTTGTGAACACCATGGAATAGTCGGTAGGTACTGGGTTCTTGGAGTCCCACCCACCAAATTGAGGAACAGAAAATCCTCCATTTTTCTGTGAACACAAAGAAGTCAAAAGAATCAATATTTTATGGCTGAAGCTTACGCAGTCAATTGCTTGGAATTGAAACATAATTCAAATAACAGGAGTTTAGCTAGATATCATTGTTAATGTTAAGTGAATTTGGGGAGGAATTCAACTTCCATTCTGATCTTGTTTTGGTTAATACCCCCTTGGTCATTAACGCATATTAATCAAAACAAGATCGATGACCCCCAATTACAAAAAACAAAAGCTGGTTATAATAGCTAATATAAATGTATGCTTTTATCTTGGATATGAAAACAAGAAAAGTTTTCTCCAGTTTACATCCGTCTCTTAACGTTGGTAAACATACTCCTGATGTTTTAGAAGAAACATGAATTCTTGTTGGAAAATACCAACATCAGAATCAAAACACGAAGGAAAATGGAAGAACAAATTGTGTCTCCTTCAACTTTGAAGCTGTGAACTTACCTCCCTTCTTTCCATGATGAAGGGGTGAAAGTAAGATTGTGATTGATGTTATCAATATGTATGTATATGGTGCAAGTCTATTTTAAGCGAAGTCAGGGTTGCTCTGTCAAATGCTCTATTTTACTGATGGATGGAAAGAATCAATGATGATGCCAACCCGTTTCCTGCCACGATGTTCTCTTGTTTTCCTAGGTAGCATAACACAAAGCTTAAATTAGAAAATGGCAGTTGAAAACTTGAGAAAGAAGAAAATACAGATGCCAATTTTAGAATGTGGTTACATTACTGGTGATGGATAGTTTTTACTTTTTGGTGAGTGGTTTTCCTTGACCATCGGTCAAAGACGAGAGAGAGAGAAACTAGACGTGGGGTGAACTTTCAAGTTTATTTTCCGCCAATCACTTGAAAAAATGCTTAATGAAAGACAAGCCCTTGTTTTTTAGTTTTGATTTTATTAAAATTGTTGAAACGTTTGGTTCTTGTTGGGACAGACTAGAATTTAACTCCATTAAAAAGTCTTGGACACTCATAGGATGAAATATTCAAATCATCCTGTCATTACTGGCAACTGGCAAGTGCCGAACATGAACAACTAACCCTTTTCTAAGCTTTTCTTTCAATCTTTCATATGTTTTCTCTCCATTTTTCCTTCCAAGGTTTTGTCCACGTGATCATGTATCATAAAAATGCTTACGAACAAAATAAAAATTGTGTGCATGGATTCCTCTCTAAATTCCTCAACTAATAAATACTTTTAAATTTGGTAAAATATGTAAGGATTTGTGTGTTTGTGTAGGATCTAATGCATAACATGATGGTATAAGTTTCTTGGTGGCTTACTGATCACTTGGGTCTATATCAAATCCGTTGTTGGGTACGCATTTACTGCAAATGGGTGATAGAAAATAGGGTTAATACAATGCCGATATTATAAAATATTTTACCGGTGCCATCATTCAAGACTCAGCTCCTCATCTTTATAAAACGTAGAAAAGATTGTCCATGTCGTGTTTCTGTGTTGCCAGTTTTGGTTTCCAATCTAAACAAAACATAAAGATGATGACAGAACATCAGCAATCTCTACTGCAATATAGATGGAGATTTGAACAAGGAAAATGAAATTATGGGTCAATATTAGTGATGAGCTGCTTTCATCTTTCGTTTTCTTTTACATGAAATGACTTCAATTTTTCAACTCGGTCCCCGTTGAAGTCCATCAACAACGATGAAAATGCAGGCCAGGCTTGGAAGGCCTACCGAGCAGACCTTTTTTCATGGTTAAAGAAAACTCCAATCCTAATCCAACAAGGAATCAGGATCATAGCAAAAAATAATACTCCATAACGATAAAAAAAACAGGTATTATCAGCTTTTTTTTTTTTGGGTAAATCAGGACCATTATCAACCCATAAGGAAAAAAAAAAAAAAAACTCCATTAAGGATACAAAAACAGCATTATTAGCTAACCAACTAGCATATTTATTAGCTTCACGATAAATGTTTCGCTGCACTTGCTAAAGGACGCCTCAAAAGAAGATAAATGATTTGAATCAACCGCGAATGAAACCAATGAAATCTACAGTGTCAAGAATGAGACAGAGATCCTCAGCAAGCTTAAGAGTCCAGTTCCACAGCAAAATGCTTCTATATCCCTCGTCCTATGCCATGTTCAAATCAACAACAAGCCTTCGACGTTTAGCTTCCGAAACTGAACAAACGCCTATAGATAAGAAAAACCAGCGAGCCAAATCCCAACAAAATCTAAAATCACATCGCTAGAAGCAGCTGGTCAGTGGAGCTCGTTAAACAACCATCAGTATTAAGCTTCACTACACCCCGACTAGGAAACTTCCAGCGTATCAACTGCTCATATTTCCATTAATTTATCAGCAAAAGACACACTAGAAAGCTCATTAATTCCAGCCACAATTTGGTTAGTTATAGCGACAAGACTTTTAATAGGATTGGGAGAAGTGACAAAATTTACCTCAAAAAGCATAATATTTCTCCACTTTCAGATTGACCAGGCAACAACAAACCTCGAACCAAATATCCCAGAGAAACTCATTAGAACAAAGGTTAATGCATGTACAATTAAATTTTAAAAGTTGCCAATAGAGGATTAAGGGTGGTCGCCCAATTTACCACCTAATTGCTTGGGATCTAGAACGACAACAAAAAGGAAGAGTTTGTAGGTATCATTATGCAACTTTACAAAAGTTTACAAAGAATTATTATAAGTAAAAATAACATTAGTTTTGATGATATTTATTTTTGTTTTGTTTGTTTTTTGTTTTTATTTATATATTAATAGGTAGTAGGGTATCTTCAATCAGTTTTTACATCAAGCGAAACTAAATCCATTATTTCTTGAACTAAATCGGTGATAAAACACGTTTATTGTTTGATCGATCACTAGACTTCCTAATTCGACACCACTAAAGAATAATTATGACTAATAATATGTGGATAGTGAAAATTAAATTTTTGTCTTAACCAAACCAAAACAACTCCCTTACCGTTAGACTATATTTTTTTTAGAGTAATATAAAATCATTCATGAAGTTTCACCTAATAGTTTAATTTTATAAACTAAAATGATTCTTTAATATAATATCGAACTTTAATAACTAAAGGGTCACAAATTTAACTCTCATCATCGTTACTTATTATAAACACAAGATAATAACTCTCATCATCATTACTTATTATAAACACAAGATAATAGTAAAATTGTATAAGTTTCAAGTTCAAAAATCTTTTGACCTGAAAATGTGTATTAAAAAGTAATATAAAAAATATAAAATGCATTTATATATTTTATTTGTATCTAAAGGTTTCTTTTATTTATCTTGTACATACATAAATATTCTAGAAAAGGCATTTTAGCTTCATGGGCAAGTGAGCTGGATTAGGAAGGAGTTTGAATGGTGGGAGAGACTAATGATAAACTTATCCCTTGAAAAAATAAACTAATTAATCCGTTTTGTTTTGAAAAAACTCATTATTTAGTTTTATATTTTAAATTTTTTTATAACTTAATCCTTTTCTTTATTTTTTCAATTTATTTTTGTTTTAAGAAAGAGAAAAAAATATGAAAAAATAACATTTTTTTAAATTAAATTAAATTAAATTAAACATAGTAATCAACGTTCAAGAAACTAAATAATTATTTTTAAAAAAAAATTACTTTTTTTCGAAAATAAAAAACTAATTAATTTTTTTCTTGAAAATAGAGGGTCTAATTTATGATGTACTCATATCTAGGGTTATAACACAAAAAAAAAAAAAAAAAAAAGATTTTAAAAATATCTTTTTTTTTGGGTAAAGTGAAAAGGTTTCTCAATGTAAAAATATAACAAAATATAAAATGGATTAATCTTTTATTTTTTTAAGATATCTTCTTTTATATATATATATACACACACATACATACATATAAAAGCTCATCCATTTGTTTCTACATTATTTTATCCCGAACGACAACTCGCTCATGGCTTCATAACACCCGCGTAAAGCCGACACCACGCCTGCACCGCCCCTCAAAACGTATACTGATATACGAGATGAAGAGATAATCTACCCTTCTTTCTCTAGAAACCTCATACGGATTAAAAAAAATACCCAAAAACTTTCCCTCACTTTCTCAGCACCCAAACACCACACTAATGGCGCAAACAATCAGCCTCCGCAAAGGCAACACCCGTCTCCCACCTGAGGTCAACCGCGTCCTCTACGTCCGTAATCTCCCATTCAATATATCAAGCGAAGAGATGTACGATATTTTCGGCAAATACGGAGCGATTCGTCAAATCCGAATCGGAACCAACAAGGACACGAGAGGCACTGCTTTTGTTGTTTATGAAGATATCTACGATGCCAAAACGGCGGTGGATCACTTGTCAGGGTTTAATGTGGCGAATAGGTATTTGATTGTGTTGTATTATCAGCAAGCTAAGATGAGTAAGAAGTTTGATCAGAAGAAGAAAGAAGAAGAGATTGCTAAGATGCAGGAGAAATATGGTGTTTCTACTAAAGATAAGTAGACTTTGTTAATCACTTTAGTTTAAGAACGGAGCTTTTGTTTTCGGAATTGCTAGGGTTTGTTTTTGGAATTGTTAGGGTTTGTTATGGATGTTATTGAATTAATTACAGTGCTTTATTTGTGCAATCTATGTAGTTATGTATTCTTGTTGTGTTACTTAATTTTGTGGAGTTAATGATCTTTCATTAATGATTTTTAGGATTGTGAGTGTGTTGATTATTATGACTCAATAGATAATGAATTATCGAATTATAAAATGCTGTGAATTTGCAAGTGGAATTATGTTGTAATTTTGGTTTTGTGAGCTATGGAGAGTTGATTGAACTTGGTTTTTAGCTTGACCTTTTGTTTTGCGAATAATTAGACCTACAGTAGGTTATTGGTCAGGTGAAGTTTGCAATTTTTATATGAGGGAGGATGCGTGTTCAATTTATTGAACAGATCATCTTTTAGTCTGAGTTTGTGAAGTATGCAGGAGACGGGTTTTTTTCCTTGCTGCAGTAGTACCTTGGTAATGGAAATAAATTGTATACATGCATTTGTGGATAGGTACATGGATGAGTTGAGTGGTTATGATACTAATTTTTTATTCTGTCTGATTCTTCTTCTAGATGTGGTAGTACTAATTGATACTTGGATAAGTGATTGATGGTCTTCCTTTTAACTTTCCATTCTCAAGAATTTTGCTTGTGCTGGTGATAGAGCTAGGGTTTACATTGGCTGCCTTTAGGGTTTTATATTAGAGGAACAGTTTTTATTTGATGGAGAAATTAGGAGCTGTTAGCTTTGGAACCTTAATGGTTGTACTTGGATTGGGGGATGATTGTGAAGTTTTGGTTTTGCAGAAGATTTATAATTGATTTGACATGGAAAATTTCTTGTTAGGCAAAAGATGGGGAAGAATGAAAACCATAACCATGGTTCTTGAAGATGATGGTGTTAACCTTAAAATTTCTTGTGAAGATTCAAGGGCTATTAGTGTATGTAATCCTCGCAGCTTCACATTTTTGGAAGGTTTGCAAATTGTTGCACAGGCTGGATGGCGTGAATGAAGAATCTGGTATTGAGATTCAAAAAATTTTCTTGGCATACAGAGGTTTGAAAAACAATGGTGATCCCCACTCTTGAGGGTTGGAAATGCAGGTAGGAACCTGACTTAGTGTTTGGAATTACTAGATTCCTAAAAGTAAAAGGATGGTAAATATTTTTAGTACACATTGATTAATAGTGGAGCCGTAGTTGAACAGTTGGATGCAGTATAGTTGGTGGGTTGATCGGGCAACTGTTTTGCATTTGTCTTATCTTCAAGAGACAATACAAATATACAATTCTTGAGAAGAGAGACTTTGTGACAAATGAAAATTGGGTTTTTTTTTTCCCATGAAGCTCTAATATTTGAGTTATAGGTTATATCAACTAGAACTAACATGTTTAGGTGAGATTAATAGAAGAGGGAGAAGGGGGGGGGGGGGGTTCTCTTCTTGATTGCTTTATTCGATTTGGCTGATGGGATTTTACTTGGGTCAATTAAGGCAAAAGGGGATGGTAAACCTGAATAAGCAGGGACTCACCCTGCGATTGTTGATATGGTGCATCTTTTGCTAATTGTCTGCACTCATTTACATTCACAGAAAGGGGTGACTGCCCTGCTTAGATTGGATTTGGATGCATTTAAATTTCATTCGGCAGAGGCAGCTTTCTCCTATGATAGATAGTTCTCTTGGTTAATAATAGGTGTGGATCTATTTTTATTTGGAATCTGGATCTGATTAGCGTGAAAATTCAGACCATGCGCGAACACACTGACAAAAACAATGAGCATTAAATTACTCGTTACTCCTTGAACTCTTGATTATATTTATTCATCATATTGGAAATAGATAGGGAAAGATACACTGAAACTTCCAAGTTGCAACTAGGAATAGGAATTAGCAAGGGTAACGGCAGACACAAGTGTCATCTGGCTTTTGGAAAAAGAAGCAATATCCATAAGAGCCTGCACCATACTTGGCCACACATCCTTCATTGCATTCGTCTTTTTGACATCCACCTTCATGCAATGGTTTCTCACATTGGCCAGCAGCATTTGCCAGCATCTTCTCGCTACCTGCACTCAGTGAGAAATGATTAAATCATTGAAGTAATCTTTACACAAATCTTCATCTATTTAAGTCCGCTACTTCCACATTTAGTATCAGAAACTCTGTATAAAATTTCGATTTTTTCTAGCATTTCTTGGAAAGTGCCCAAATCTTAAAATATGGATGTGCAAATTGTGCAAGTATCCCTTTGAAACAACACTTGGACGTGTTATCGAAGGACTTAGATGTGTGAAAGTCGATCAGTTTTTGGTGATTTCATCCTTTTGTGTGCACGTAATTTGCTATCTACCTTAGTCAACAATAAATAAAATAGCAGAGGGAAGGAGCACTTTACCAGAAGAGAGAAACAGAACAAGAAAAAGGAGGATGGCAAAAACTGAAAGGCTCTTCCTGGCGTCCATAGTGCTTGATTGCAGAAGCGTATATAAGAATAAGCTGGCAGAGTTGGTAAAGATAAGGATGTTGCTTGTGATGGATTGCAGGACGTGGTTGCCAGTATTTATAAGGAGCATTTGTGTCTAGATTTCTAAATTTTCTGATTGAATTGTTCATCTTTTTTTTTTTAAGAAAAAAAAAAACAGATCCAAGTTTGAATTGCGTTGCCATAATATTGCTATATATCATAACATTGCCATAAAAAGAAGATTTATTAAAAAAGGATCCAAGTTTGAATTATGTTGCCATGATATTGCTATATATCGTAACATTGCCATTAAAAGGAGATTCATGAGAATTTTCCAACATCGATAATAGGGCTAAGAGGCTCCTAATTCACACATAATAGATGCCCCCTGATTTACACATGATAGATGCACCAAATTAGCATGTATCATGCATGTAAGTATTTTAAAGCGTGGAAAAGTAAATTTCTCATAAATTCTTTAATCATATATAATATTCTGTCTTTGACCAAACTGGGTAAGTAAATTTACTCTTAATACAAGAAAGTTAGGTCCAAAATACCTTTGTGTGCATGGTAGAGCAATACCCTTGAACAAACAACCATCCGATAAAAGGTACAGTATTGGGTTTACAAACTTATTAGACTGACAAGCATGCGATATTGAACCAGAAGGCTTAGGCCCACTCCAAGCCCACTTATCTATAGCAATTTGCAATGCGGCATCGTATTATTTGTCAAATCCTCCACAAAATTTCGTTTCCTACACTTTCACTAAAAGACCCCTCAAACTCTCTTAATCTCGAATGTGCCCCACAAAATACGCACCAATAACCAAAAAAACCAATTCCTTAAACCCTCCCCAGTTCACTTATACCCTCTCTCAGTCGCTAAACGCGACCAGCCCAAGACGATACAGTTCGTTCAATCGCCGCTAAAAGGCTTAGAGGCAATCGCAGTTGAGCCGGCGGCAATAAGAAGCCTGATTTGAAACCGATTCCAATGAGAAATTTTGTAAATGTGGTAGCGAGATCCTTCTTTCTATCAAGCAGCCTCCTTTTTCATCTTCATAAAGTTCGGTTCTTTCCTCGAAAGGTAACTTAACTTGACTTTCCATTTCATTAATGTTATTATTCTTGTTGGTGGGGTTTTTTTTATTTGAAGGTTCTTAATAGTTTTCCTTTTTTGTTGTTTGGCACCTGAGAAACTGGGAATTTTTAGTTACATGAGGTTGGTGACCAAGTCACCTCTACTCAAAATGGGTTTTTTCTTTTGTATTTTTTTAAAAAATAAAAATAGAGCTGAAATAACATGAAAGTAGTTACGAGCTTCAGTCAAGCTTGAAACTCTGCATTTATGGCTGACTTTTATTGTATCTAGTTTGCAAATTAGATTATGGAGGGATTTCTTATTCGGTTTATTTTTTAGTGAAAATTGTAGTGGGTATTGATTATATCTCTAATACAGAGTTGTATCACATCCATCCCAGTTGGTTCTCATTGGATTTTGCCCCACTTTGCTGCTTTAACTAAAGCCATTAGCAATTACAAGCAACTCACAACAGGGGCATCCCTGGATGAAGGGGAGGTCAAAGATGATAACTTGAATCAAATACTTGATGCTATTGAAAATGCCCCAGAATCTGCTGCTAGAAAAATTGGAACTACTTATGTTGATGGCTTATGCAAAGCTGGAAGCCTTTTTGCTGCAGTTAGACTGCTGAGATTGTTATGTTATAAAAACATTTTCCTTGGCCCTAGTGCTTATAATATCATTTTGGTGGCAGCTAGTGAAAAAAATGACATTGAGATTTTGTCTCGGGTTTTTAAGGATTTGATTGTGTCTTGTCAGTCTTTGCCTTCAGCTTCGTATTCGAAACTTGCCAGGGGTTTTGTGAAGACAAATGATGATGTCCAGCTACTGAGACTTGTCAAAGAAGTTTCTGAATTGACATTTCCAAGTAGCACGACAGTTGTAAATAGAATCATCTTTGCCTTTGCTGAATGTGGGCAGTTTGACAAAGCCCTTGTGATATTTGAGCAGATGGAGATACTGAAATGTAAGCCGGATTTGGTCACGTATAATACTGTTTTAGATCTTTTAGGTCGTGCAGGTCGGATTGAAGAAATGCTCTGTACATTTGCCTCCATGAAGGAAGCAGGAATTCTCCCAGATTTTATTTCTTACAATACTTTGCTAAATCAGTTAAGGAAGGTAGGAAGATTGGATTTGTGTTTGGTGTACTTTCGAGACATGGTTGAGAGTGGAATTGAACCAGATTTGCTTACATATACTGCATTGATTGGGAGTTTTGGCCAATCCGGAAACATCTCGGAAGCACTGAGACTCTTCAATGAGATGAAAACAAAGCAGATTCGTCCCTCTATTTACATATATCGATCATTAGTTGCTAGTATGAAGAAGATGGGAAAGGTAGAATTGGCAATGACCTTTTTGGAGGAGATGAATGCATCAATGTCAAACCTGGCCGGTCCCAAGGATTTCAAACGAACACGCAGGTAGTTATGCACAGTGAAGGCAGGGCTTTTGCGTTGTGAAGGAGAGTACTGAGTTCAGAAGTTAGCTCAAGCTGGATATGCGGTGGAGGTCCTCTAACATGTCTTTGAGTTGATATTGGTATACTGTTACTGCTACTCTCCTTCTGATATACCTTTCTTGACAATTTTTAATTGATCTCGGAATCCATTACCTAGGCAGTCACATATGTTTCCATTCTACAAAATAGTCCTTGTAAATATCATCATAATCATTGAATTAGTTGACTTGGTTTAAAGCGTTTAAAATTACTTCTGTAGCTACGTCGATATTCAAATCGAAAGAATTCGATGATTAACTAATCTATAAACAAGTTGCTATTTCCGACTAGTGACTGAATTTTCATCAATAAGTCATTGTACGTCTCCTTAAGTTCATGGTATTTTGAGTTGATATGATACTCATGTACATTCAAGATTTGGAGCAAGGTGTCCTGTGGATGTATTCTGTTCCTAGTACAGTTAATTTATGGTTACTTCGACACTATTTATGATGTTCATTGAATGTGAGAATTATATTTCAATGCCTCTGGTCCTTACTTTTTCCCTTTGTTGATACCTTGCAAGTGTTTGAAGCTGGGGTTGCTGGCTTAGTATGGTTGCGTTGTCATCTGAATCTAAACACATGATTTGATGAATGGCCATACAAACTAATCTTTATATTTCTTCTCCATATTTAATCCAGGAGAAAATTTGAGTAAATCTAATCATTCTGTTATTACTGTTTTAAATGTCATTGCTTTCGCTTTCCATCATATTATGTATTCCTACTGCTCAATTTTATTTGCAAATCATTGCAGTGATAGAGGTTTTGCTGGCCTTTTCTGATGCTAATACCTTCCAGAATTGCCAGCTCGTCTCAAGGTGAAGGCAAAATGATGTTACTCAAACTGGTTTGGGTGGCAGCCTGGCACGAGTTCTATGAGACGACTGAGAAGTTCTTCGCATCACACAGCACCTTCCTTGTAAACTTTTCACATTTATTCCTCTGTAACCAAGTGTTGCAAATGGAACTTTAGAAGCTTGCACATTATACCAATTCACAATGTTGTAGTCAAGGTAAGAAATGTAACAACACAATCTACTTACTGTCCATCGAAATTTTGTTTTAAAAACATTTGTTCTTGCTCTTTTATCTTGCAAATATTTTCCACTCATTGACATGGCTCGACACGTTTTTGTTTTCTTTATTTTTCGATTTTTTCTCTGGATCTCACTAAGAAAAATTAACAATGAAGCTTAATTTCCTCTTCCTTGTCTAAAGATTGGGTTACACTTGCAGAGTAAGGGGGTGGCATTTGGCTTCCTTAACTTAATTTTTTATATTCAAGCATGGAGTAGATAATTTGTTTGTTGCTGATAATTTCTCTCTTTAATTTTCCGTTCCTTTCTAACTACTAACATTTTACCCAACTAGAAGGGCAATTTTTTTTTTTTTTTTTTTTTTTTGGTGGGGGGAACGTATGTCTTGCTCTTTCTAGCCACTTACACTTTTAACCAACTATATCAGGCTTTTTTTTGTTTTTTTTTTTTTTGAAGGAAATAAAGTTATGTGTACCATGTAGGTGGCACCTTCGTCAAGCTCCAGTTGTGACTCTCTGGCCACTCCTATGATATCATGGGAAGGCTTCAACAAGCAATAGCATGTTCTTCATTAATGTTAATGATTCTTTAAGATGGGTTCCATGGTGATCCTAGTGAAGTGATTTGAGTACCATTTTTATGTTTTGGTGCCTAAGCTAGTCGTTACGTGTAAGTGATTCACAGTTATTGATTGCACAGCCGAGGGTCCACCTTGGTGACTAATTGGTTGTGGTTTTGGGTCCCAATAGAAGAAAAATGCCATCTCTTTGAATCAATAATATTTTCAATACCAATAAGCTAGTTTACTAATCATGGTAGGTGGCATCATCCATTTAGTAACTTTAGTTTGTTGATTTCAAACGAAACAAAAGTTCTGATATCTAAATGATGCAAATCACCAACCAATTCATTGACTTCAATATCTGTAACAGACTCATGAATATTTGAACTTCATCATCTTCTTGTGCACATTTATAAGGTATAGCAGTCTGTCTAGAACAACCATTTATAAACAAATAAAACAATACATTAACTAAAGAATGCTCTGTTATACAAGTAAAGCCTTCTTTCTAAAGATACAAGCCCGTCGTCATATAGAATGATATGAACTAAGAAATTGAGAAAAAGAAAATAACCCAACTCATCAAAGCACGTAAACAATCCCTAACAAAAGCAACATCCCATTCAATTTCATGTCTAAGAATGTCGCATGGAATGAGATGGATCCAGAATCCTTCTTAACTTCAGTGTCCTGGTCACGAGGATGATTAAAGTCAAAGGGCACAACAGTATCCGGCGTCGAGTCATAATCGGCAGCGTTTGGAGCTGGGGCTTGGTCAGACGGGTCTTTAAGGCTATCCGGCAACCCTTTTCCATGAGACACGGTTATTTTGAAATGCTGGCCGTTCTGGCATTGCTCCCCATCATAATCCCCAGATAAGAAATAAGTTGGTCCTTCCTTGAGCAGAGGAACCGCCACTGTGACTGCCTGTGTGAGAGTGTTGGATGGATTGGTGGATGACCATTCCACACTGTCATTGCCTACGGAGTTGTCGTAGTCACACAACTTGTATGTGGTGAAATTGTATGTTTGGACTACTGAATGATTGTTATCCGTGTTGAAAACTGCATTAACATAAACAGCACACAATGTGACCCTCTAAATAAAATCTAACGATTACAGTGGCCACATGTGAGCACACTGGCCCTCGCTCGGTCTCCCTTACTTAAATATCATTGCTTCATGCTTCACTCAAAGAATAAAGAGAGATCCAAGAAAGCAATAACAAGGGCTAGTTGTAATTAAGAGGCATTAGCTGGCAACATGTGAGTGCAACAGTTCGTGGAAAACCCATGTACCAATTGGTAACTTTATCAAAAATACTTTTGTCAATGCTTCGTTTTCAAGCCAAGCTTTTCCACTCACTTCTATGCAGGATCTATGCTTGTCTTGGCAAAGCATCTCATAGTCATTTACTACTTTATACTCAATATATTGATTGAAAATTAGAGATAAGATTAATTATATTTGAAGTAAAAACATAAAGTTTAATCATTTCTATAAAAAAAATAAGATTCCAAAATTCAAACCCAAAAAATTGGCAGGAAATTAGCATTTCCATTCGCTTACAATAAAAAATGCAGTTAGGCTGGAAATATTGGCTATATTTTCACTCCCTCCCTCGTAATTTCAAGAAAACAAAAGGGTGAACTAAGTAGGGTAGATATATAATAATTACATGTTAAATGCTATTTCTATCCCATGTGAATTCAATAATCTTGAATCGAGAAAGTGAGCTAAGTTAGATACGACATGTTTAATGCTTTTGCCTAACCTATGTCAACTAAATCATGGGCTCATAACTATCATATTACGACTTTGAAAAGGAACTTGGGAGTTCACAGAACCATTAAAGCAAATTTCAATAAAAGAAAAAAGGAAGAATGAAAACAAAATTTGGCCAAGGAAACACAGGATCGAAAATATGTGAAAGAGTTCAATGTTGTTGAGCTAAGCATCGTCCATTTGGTTGATAAATCTGATCTCCAAACTTTTACTATGAATTTAAACAAATATCTATTTATGCAAAAATAAAATGGAGATCCAAAAGGAGATAATTGAAATTTATTAAAATTTATTTATGCTGGTTGAGGCTAGAGAGAACTTCCCTTTTTTCATGTAAATTTACTCATAGTGAATTCTGGCATCGCTTAAAGTAGAAACTCAAAATCAAACAATGACTAAGACTAAAACTCAAAAGAGTGCCGACAAAACATAAGAAGATGGCAGAAAGAGAAGAACTATAAACCGAAAAATGTTTTTTTTTTTTTTTTTTGGTATGTTCAAATTCGATAACGTATTAATTTAAGAACTTACTGAGGAAATCTCCCAAGCTGAAGTTCTTGCCATCAGCCCATTTTTGGTAATTGGCATTAGACTTAACAGTGTTGTCATACCACCCCAAGGAGTCACCCACTGTGTAGTTCTTGTAAGCATCAACAGATCCTGAAAAAGATAGAAGAAGAAGACAAGAAAAGGTGAGGAATAGAAGGCCTATTCTGACGTTGTATCTTCTCTGTTCCATTGTTCTTGGGTTCTGCGAAACTGAATGGATGTGGAGAACTGTGTGGACTTTAGCTCTTGTGAGGAATAAAGGAAGGGAATGGGAACTGTTCTGTTCCAAGCCTTTCTATATTTCTATCCCTTCTTTTCGTTTGAATTACTAATACAAATGGTCTCACCTATTTATTATTTAGCATGATAAAAAAAAAAAATCAAAAGAAAAGGATATTGAGCTTAGATTCTTTATTTTATTTTTTGTTTTCTTTTTGGGTTCTGTTTTCTGCCTTGTTTTGTAGGGAAGGGTCGGTCGTCACTCAATGAACCTAGATAAGAATCTCATAGAAGAAGCTATTTACTATTGTGAATAAGGGGAACGGTTTTTGTTGTCATTTGTCAACCCTGATAAATTAGAAACAGAGATATTATTGAGTAAAATATAAATTGAATATATATATTTGGGAATTTTTTATTATATTTTTGTTTTTTTTTTAGGCTGTGATGGAAATTATATATCTTGAATCTTTCATCGTGTGACTGAAAATGATTTCCCTAAAAACAGATCATACACATGGAGTATCTTTCCACTTCTACTCTAGTTGAAATTCATGTGGTGTATCAACGCAAGCTTGTTTGCATATGAAATGACAAAGAATGACTACCAAATACATATATGACTTGGCAATGAATGATTGAAAGATGCTAAGTGGAAACCACAGATGCGAGTACATTATAAATTAGTCCCTTTGGCTTTGAGAAACAAATTAATTATTCATTTTTATCTATTTTATGTTATTTTTTAATTTAATTTATTTTTTATTTTAAAAAATAGAAAAATAAAAAATAAATAGATATTATGAAAACGAGAACATAAATTATTTTTTAAAATAAAATAATAATAAATTGAAAGTGATCAATACTGATTAAATAATTAAATAATTAGTTTTTAAAACAAGATGAATTAATTAATTTATTTCTTAAAAAGTGAAATGTATCCCGTGCCCTTGTACTATTTAACATTATTTGTTTAACTTCATTTATCTAGATATGGTGCAAAATAAGTTATGTATTATCGAACGTTTAAAAAAATCAGCTTTTTCATCTAACGTCTAACCAATATGAAGACACGTGGCTAATAGATGTGGATAGAAAGATTGATTTATTTCAATGTTCACTCGGTAGAAGATTTGTTTTGCATAATATCTAGATAAAAATGTTAAAATAGATAATATTAGATAGTACAATGACACTAGTTGAATTACACCCGTTTCTTAAACTAGAAAATTAATTTATAATTTACTTACAAATCTACTAATAGAAATAATTCCTTTGGGAATAAATAAAAGTAAAAAAAAAAAAATTGTTGATTGTTACGAAACCTTCAACTCGAAGAGCAATTGTTACGAGTGTCATCCACTAACTCGATAAAAAATTCGAGTGACTAGTTTAGTAGATGATGAGAAGAATTACTAACCCTTAATTTTATGCGAATTTTTGTTATTAGCATATTTGCTTCTCATTTATCAAACTAAGAAACATCTTGCGAGTCGTCTATATATAAAATCAATGAGGTAAATGTTAAGTATATTCTATAGGTTCAACCAACAAGTGACTTTAGCATAACTTATTAAGGAATAGAAAAATGATTAAATAGGAAAAAAAAACTATCGTAAAACAAGAAATGAAAAGGTTTTTTTCTTCTTGTTTAACTAAAAATAGATATAGAAAACAAAGCTTTGGTCTTTCCGTTAGTATAGTTGCCAAGAGAGAGAAACTGGAGAGAGAAGAAAAGAAAACAAGGACTCTATTTTTTTATTTTATTTTATGAATTCTATAGAAAGAAAGCAAGAAATTTATGCACACAAAATATTGGATGTTTCTCTAAGATTGACTTTTGAGTACTATAGTACAATCATATAAAATTATAATATTCGAGATAGTGATCTCAAACAATATTAAACTTTACACAAGCATGAAAATTTTACATATTGTAGGTTTTTATAATGTGATGAATTTAGCTAGAAAGGTAATTTGGATTATTATCAAAATTTTTGTTTCTCAATTTCACAAAAAAACTTGAGTGATTGTATTATTTTCTTGATTATAGTGAGTTATTCGGAATTAACCCTAGGGTTTTTCTTATATGATAGAGAATTTTTTTTTTAATGTAAATTTGGTGTTTTTTTTGTAATTGTACTCTTGTGATCAATTTATTTTATGCTCTTGATTGTTGTGCATATTTAGCTTGATTAATTTCTCATAAAATTTAAGTTACAAAAAGTGACATTAAATTTTTAATAGTGGTATCGGAGGTTTGATTGGAATATTTGTGTAAATTAGATAGAGAAAATAATTTTAGAATCATGACCAAACTAATGGCTTTGGATTATTTGATTTAGAAGCCAATGAAAAAGGATTTACTTTATTATCATAGTTTGTTTTATTTAATTGAATTAAGTATAGCCAAATCAACTCGCCGAAACTGGTGATGATTGGAAAAGAGAGCATAGAAAAGTTATCGAAGCTATCGGATAATGGATTGACGATAATTTATTTCACTTTATATCAAAAGAAACAAGTGCCCAAGAACTAAAAAAAATAAAATAAAATAAAAATAAAAAAAAAAAATAAAAATAAAAAAATTAGAGAGGATATATGAAAAAAAGACTATATACAATAAAACTTCTTTTATTTAAAAGCTTGTGAATTTGAAATATAAAGATGAAAAGTTTATTGTTGAACACTTGAGTGACGTTGAGGATTTGATTAATTAGTTGATAACCACAAAAATAGTATTAAATAATGAGTTACAAGCACAATTTCTATTAGAAACTTTGCTAGACGGTTGGGAGATTTTGTTTATAATGCTTGATAATTCTACTCAAAATAGTGTTTTTATCGCTATTTATGATTAAAGATAGCTTATTCAATGATGAGTTACAAGCATAAGCCCCAATCATATAGAATAGAAAGAGAAATGTGACTAAAGAATTTAATAGGGGTGGTAAATCTAAAGATAGATCATTGTTTAGTGATAGTTTTAACTTTGTTACTCGGTATGAAAGAGAATGTTATGTCAAGAGAAATTATAAGGTATGAAAGAAAGAACAAAAAGAACTAAAGAATAAGAAATAAGATAATGAAAGCACCACTATAATATTAACTTTAGATTGGAATGTGGCGGTACTCTTGCATGGAGGGAATAAGTGTAATATTGTAAATTATTATGTTGAATGGTTTGCTAACCTCAAGAACCGTACATCATGGTAATTTTAAGAAGAAATTAGTTATTGTGTTAAAAAATGAGACTTCGATAGAGTAAAGATGGACAATGATTGTTAAGTTAGTATTTTATAAGTTGATGATATGTGTAAAAACATGTATAAGTTGTATATTGATTTTGAAGGATGTGTTGTATATATCGAATTTATGCCTAAATCTAATTTCTACTCATATCTTAAATATTGATAGATATTATAATTATTTTAATGGTAAAAGATAGAAACTCACCAAAAGATTAGTAGTTGTTGCTAAATTATAATATTTGTGATAGAATATACAAGTCAAAATTACATTTCACATGATTTGAGAAGAATGCATTTAGATATAGAACTCTCTAAAATTGTGATCTAGATGATAAACTCAAGTAAATAAAAAATAATTGGTAAAGAAGTCTTTTGTTAGTTTTGCCAAAGATATAGGAGGAGTACTAAATAAAGAACATGAAATTAATATTGAGTCAACTACCGACAATGATGATGATACGAATAGGAGAGTGTTAAGTAGGGAGAGCAAGACCCTCTACTTCGAATATAAAGTCTCAGGTGAGTAGGTCTACTGATTAATATGATTTTTTTATTAAGAATTTTAGTTCTAATAATGTTTTGTTAATAGACGAAGATGAGCTAAATAGTTTTCATAATATTCTGTCTTATGATAAAGTTAGAAATCAAAGTAATGATCGGCAATACCATTGGTTTTATGAGGTAATAAAGAAACAATTGATAATGCTGAAAATGATTCTCTAACATAAAAATGATGTTGATATATCGAAAAAATTGATAGCACACAAGAAAAATGGATTGGATGCTCGTGTGACTGGCATTAACTCTAGATAAAGAGTTGAGATTTTTTCCTCATGGATTGAAAAGGATATTTGTTGAGCATATGCTATAGGTCTAATCTATGAATAACTTTAGCATAAATTAAATAAGAAAAGAACTATTGTGAAACAAAAAAGAAAAAAAATTTTCTTGTTTAGTTGAGATATACATACATAAAAGAAAATTTTAGTCTTTTTTATTTTTTAGCCCATTTGCCAAAAGAGAGCAATTAGAGAGAGAAAAAGAAGTTTTTCTTATTCTTTTGACATATTGTATAAAAAGAAAGTAAGATATTTTTAGTGCATGAAGCATTACATTTTTTTTTTAGTATTGATTTTTGGGCACTACAATCAAAGAGAATTGCAGTATTTAAAGTGGCAATCTCATAAGATATTAGATTTTGTAAAAATACAAAAATTTTGTAGATTTAAGTTTTAGTCGTGAGACGAATTTAACTAAAGAAATAACTTGTATTGTTGTCAATATTTTTACTCCTCAATTTCATAGAAAAATTTGAGTAATTATATTTTTTTATTATAATAGATTATTTCAAAATTAATTTCGTAGTTTTTTACTCTATGGTATAAATGATTTTTTTTACGTACATTTAGCATTTTTGTGTCGTATTTTTGTCGTTGATTTATATTATGTTCTTAATTATTGTGTATATATTTTTTAATTGAATTGCTCATGAAATGTAATTTATACAAAATGAAATTAAATTATCAACAATAAATAATATTTTTTATCTAATGTATCCTCAAATCCGCATACTATTTTAATTTGCACAAAAAAAAATTCCAAAAAACCGATTAATTCCATCGATTTTTTCCGTGTAAACCGAATTTATCTAACGCTCTTTCTTTTTTGAGCCATAACCATATACATACGTACACATAAGAGTTACAGCATTTGTGTAATAGGGGTACCCTTTTTTTGCCTCCTTTCATTCATCCTGATTTGTAGACATAAGTACACGTGGGATATGAAAGGTATTGCTGGATCGTCGGTGGGATATGTATATATATAGAGATAGAGAGAGAGAGAGAGAGAGAGTTGCAACGAAGGATATGATATGTGACAGCTGGATGATGATTGCTTTTTGCACCTAATCCTTTACATACATGAGGTGATGCCATGCAGAGGACACCCAATCACTTCTCATTCGTAAATTCCATTGCTCGTAGGTTGTGCTATTCAATCATTAAGATTGTGATCGGGGAATTGTTTGTTTTCTAGCCAATGAGCCACTTCCTTCTGAGATAATCTAAATTAATGTCATAAATTTTTAATAGAATCATTTCATTAGTTTATTCATACGTATTACAATCATCTAGTCCAGAAGTGTTTCTTTTTCTCTTCTTTTTCTTGTCTAGAGTCCAAAAGCGATCCTTCTTTTAGCAAAGTACACACTTATATTTCAATCCCTTAGTTAATTTGTTTTTTTAATGAGACCCTTCATGTTGAGGCATATCTCGTAAGATATGCATAATTTCCACCAGCTGTTGTGTATTATCTTTATGGCTCTTATTTTTATTATATTATTTTCAAATTTAACCTAGTTTTTTTATTATATATATTGACATATATTACAGATTAAATTTACATGTATTAAAGATTTTTAACGGCTACTTGTATTAAAGGGGTCAGGAACCTTAACAGGCTTCGACTTTACATTCTGTCACAGAAAAATAATAATGACAGTCTTTGTTTAATAAATAATTGTAACCAAATTATCGATTCCGTAACAGCTGAATGTTGTTCTCTACTTATCTTGAATCATTCCACCATTCTGTCCTCTCTCTGCCCTTGCTTTGGCCTCTGATTCTTGAGCATCACTCTTGTACTTGTACCATGAAGCCGAGAAGAGATAGAAGGCGAAATTGATGACATTAAGGATAGCCAAAAACCAATAGAAGAGGTTCAAATTATTGGCGTTGAGATTGTTCCCATGTAACCATCCATGTTTGCTTGGAGTGATTCTCTTGGTGACTGAGTTTATGATACCAACAAAGACAGTACTAGAGAAGTAGCCCAAAGACAATGTTAACCATGGAGCTTCCTTGTAGAAAAACTCCACTAGTCCAACAACTGTAAACATATCTGCAATGCCAAATATGCCATATTGGAAGGAAAGCCAAAAAACACTGATTTTGTGTGGCGGATTCTTGAGAGCCTCGTGTTTTCTGTATAGTTCAATAAAACCTGCTACTGTCATTGACAGAATGGACAGAACAAGACCAACTCCAACACGTTGAAGCTGTGTGATGCCAGATGGATGGCCGGTGATCTTTCGAGCGAATGGGACTACTACAAATTCATAGATAGGAATAAGGACAGACATGAAAACTAGAGGAATCACTGGGATTGATGGTGTTGGGATTGTTTTGGAGCCAAGATGTGCATCCATGGTGACCCCTTGTTGTACTGAGAATGTTTGTAACTGTGCCATACTTGTGTTCATTAGAATCGTACTGGCGATAATGGGGATCATCCTTATTAGAATCTTCACTTCTTCAACTTGGGTTACTGTGCAAACTTTCCATTGCTGTGGCTCCATTCCTTCTCTAAGAATGGCAGCTTTGTCCAGGAATCTGTTTCGAAGAAAACAATAGACAGCCACAGAACCCCAACAGATTAAGATGTTGTATTTGTTAAATTTTGCACCATAGAGAATGTTTTATCTGCTCTCTGTAGAAGTGGGAGATAGAGTTTCCAATTTGGTACCTAAATTGATTGGAATGTGAAAGTCTCTCTTCAGACGGATCTCTTAGTGCATCATCGATCTCAAAGAGTTTATCAGGATTTTTTGGCAGAGATAAGTCCCTATTCTGGAGCGCGACCACTATGACCTGAATCATTGGCACAAAATTTTGTAAGAAATCATATCTGCATAAAAATAATCACTTAGTCTGTGCACGCGACTGGAGAAGAGAGAAACCTGTGCTATCCTAACAAAAGCACTACTTCCAGGCGGCTGAATTCGGTAGAAAGGCTTCCCGAGGGCAAGAACAGTGAATCCAATCAAGGCAGCTATAGTTGAAATGAAGAAACTTTTGTACCAACTCTTGTTCATGCTAACCCACACTACAGCTGTGACTCCAACTATTGATCCACAGGTTGAAATTAAAAGGTTCCAATTATAATAACGTGAAAGTGCCCCTCTTTTTTGTTGATCATGATCAAACTGGTCTCCACCAAGTGCGGGAATAGCTCCCTTAACTCCACCTGAACCAAGTGCGTACAGAAAAAGAGACCCGTAGAAGATAATTGCCGTGCCGCCTTTGACACAAGTTGACTTGTGACAATCTTCAGGCTGCAAATCCTTAAAATAAGCTTGAGCTGTAACCAATCCAAGACCCTGCCAATTAAAAGATGGATGATGAAAGACAATCAAAGAGATTAAAAGATCAAGTTGTTTCAGTTCGAGCAAGGCTTGACATGCATTTATCATATACCAGAACTTCCATTATTCCAAATAAGAGGCACGTATAGAATCGGTTCAAGTAAGTGTCAGCAACGAAGCCTCCAACAAGAGAGAGCATGAAAACTGAACCCATGAAGTTTGTGAGCGTATTTGCTGAAGTGGCGATGTCGAAATGCATGATATAGTAAAAATATAAAACCAAGCTCGCCATGTTAGCTACAAATCCCATGTTCTCCAGTGCTCCCAAAACTGAAAAAAACAGAAGAAAAGACACAAATTAGTCCATTGTTCATGTCATTTTATATGGAAAATTTGGATTTCTAGATTCCAGTTGCATCCTCACTGAAAATAGAAATGCAAGCTCGGAAGCCGCCTTTTCGTCTGCTAGATGAATTAAGGTCATCCTGGATATAGAAAACCAACCAAAAATCAGTATTGACAGAGAGATAAACCTATAAAGATAAGATCGGAGTAGCTTAGTATTAATTACCATTGGTGAGAGCTTAGGAAGAGGTGATTGAACTATTGTAAGTGTGTCTTGCCTTTTGAATTAAGGTGTAATGGATTAATTGACTGCTATTTATAATGCTAAACTTTAGTGGCACAAGACTAATATATCCCACCTTTTCCACAATTGGTCATCCAAATAACCCTAAATATGGTTTGATTCCTTTTTTTGAACTCACCACTCAATGCTATGCGATTATTCTTCTTCATTTTAGATTTTAGATTTGTCTCTTCCACGTCCTACATAATGTCAGCAAACATATCTTCCTTAGCGATATGCCCATGCTACTAAACTTCAATTCTTAATTTTGTAAGCATTTATAGAGACAAGTATTATGTCTACTTTCCCTTTTTCTTTTATTTTGTAAGCATATGGACAGACCAACGTGTCTTAAAATTGTGAATTTGCACGACCATTGCATCTTCTTCTTCTTTTCTCCCGTTAAAACGAAGGGGGAAGACGACAGTCAAAATAAAAAATAAGAACAGGAAAAAAACAAAAAAATAAGCAAACAAGTCGAATAAAAGTAAGATCCACAAAAAAATCTTCCAATTGAGTAGATATCGATGAAGAAGAAGAGAAGGGCTTATCTATTTTGTTTAGGTTCATTTAGATAAGTTAGTTTAACCAATTATTATTATAATTCGAGCAGACAGGGCAACTGCCAGTGTGTCTTATATACATGCTTTAAGGATTTACATCTTTTCTTTTCTTTTTTTATGTTTCAACTTTTTAGTAATAATTTTGGTTGCTTATTGGCCAGGCATTCTTTTTTTAAGGCAATTTATACCAATCTAAATTTTTTTTTATACATAATTGGAATTCCTGCTCCATATTTCATTAGCAACAGAGAAATGTTGTGTGTCCAAAAAATAAAAGAAAGATTCTTTCACGTCTCTGCCATCTATTTAATTGGCTGCAGAGTTGATCCCTATTTCATGAGCTTGCCAAATATTGTCATGCTATTTACTGAGCAGATTAGGCCTTAGTGACGAGGCTAATGGGTGTGCAGATTGTCTGGCTAATTTTGATATAGAATTAGGAATGGGATTTTGTATTACACTGAAACTCCTAATTTTGTCAAGGAATTGCTTGTGAGGGATGATAGACGTGGGAGAGCGTGAGAGGCAAGGCGTCTATTCAGTTCTTCTTTGGGCCCCTTTGTAAGAGGGAAAAAGGAAAACTATTGGAGAAGTCTTCCCTCTGTAAAATTGATGAGATAATGTTTCGATGTTCTTCTCCTGGACGATTTGACCTGCCGGTTACTCATGTAGTCATGTTCTCCTGACGTAAAAAGCATATCCGGTCTTCAGTTACCTTCATTTCCTATAAAAATTACACATGCTTCATATCAGCACTTTCCAAGCTCAGACATTTTTCTGGCTGATGCCAATTTTATGTTGTGCTGATTCTTCTTGGGATAAGCATAGGAATAAGGTGAGTGGCAAAGGGCGTCCAAATGCTTTCCATCATCCAGCTTTTCTATTTTCCGTTCTAGGACATCACTACAGATAACAAATGAACTCCAAACGAACTCCATTGTGACAGTAATTCTGTTTTTCAAGTTTCGGTTCAAATATCGTGCCTCAGTCACTTGTGGATCGACACATGGTTCAGAGTGTTTCATTTTTCTCAACTCTTTTCTGTATTTAGCATTAAAAACGATCGATAGCAACACCTAGTTTTCTGCCATGCCTAAAAATGCGAGATGAAGCAAAATAAAGGAACAAAAAGAAGAAAAAGGAAGGGAAAGAAAACCAAGCTACACATCATCCATGAAAATGACTGGCATGATGATAGTCACACACCTAAGGCCACGGAGACTTAAAAGATTGCTTATAGGAATAGAAAATAGCATTAAAGCTAGAACTCGAACACGAACAGCAATAAAAAAAACTTTTCACATCAGCCACATGGCTTAATATTTAACTACTAGAACTGGAAAAGAAAAATATAGGCAATATTTCCAACTATACTTACTATTCAAACCCCGCTCAGACAGTGAAATTCACCACGCACAATTCAAAGCAGTAACAATATTTATGCAGAATACAGTGCAAAGCAGTAGCAGATAGACCTTGCATAATTCATTGCATCTCAGCATCTTCGTCCTCCTCATCCTCGTAGTCACCTTCTTCATCAGCTGTTGCATCTTGGTACTGCTGATATTCAGACACAAGGTCATTCATGTTGCTCTCAGCTTCAGTGAACTCCATTTCATCCATGCCTTCTCCTGTGTACCAGTGCAAGAAAGCCTTCCTCCTAAACATAGCTGTGAATTGCTCACTCACACGCCTGAACATCTCTTGGATGGAGGTTGAGTTTCCAATGAAGGTGGATGCCATAGCAAGTCCTTTAGGAGGAATATCACAGACACTAGACTTGACATTGTTGGGGATCCACTCAACAAAGTAGGAGGAATTCTTGTTTTGGACATTGATCATTTGTTCATCCACTTCTTTGGTGCTCATCTTACCCCTGAACATAGCAGAGGCAGTCAGGTAGCGACCATGGCGTGGGTCAGCAGCACACATCATGTTCTTGGCATCCCACATCTGCTGGGTCAGTTCTGGAACAGTTAGTGCCCTGTACTGCTGAGAACCACGTGAGGTCAGAGGAGCAAATCCAACCATGAAGAAGTGCAGACGAGGGAAGGGGATGAGGTTCACGGCAAGCTTCCTGAGGTCAGAGTTGAGCTGACCAGGGAACCTGAGGCAGCAGGTAACCCCGCTCATTGTGGCAGAGATCAGATGGTTCAGGTCACCAACTGTCACACACATCAATAATTCAATGCTAATCCAACAATATATTCTTGATATGATGCAGAAAAATGAAAAGACCAGCAATGGAAAAATGCAAACAATCCCATGAATACAAGACGTAAAACTTGTATTTTCATGGTTACATCAGAGTGTCATATTGCCGTAATCAAATTAACCAAAACCCGGTAAAGTCATCAAAGCTGCCACCTAACTTCTGGTACTTCCACAACTTATCAAACCAAGTAAATGCCTGTCTCCTAGAGAATGACATCTGAGAAGAATCATGTGAGATCCAGCAACATGGAGCCCACATCCCTTACTCAAGCAGACATGAATTGTAAGATAGAGCGTGCCAGCCAAAAGATATAAGTTAAGCGATTGACATAAATGCGAGAAGGAAAAAACCGCTACATAACATAAATAACTGACACCTGACCAAGGCACATTGACAAAAAGTAAAGAATACAACCAAGCAACAAAGAAAATGAGAAAGTGCTCATTGCCCAAGACAGGCTGGACCAAGGGTATGTGAGCAGAGAAAAACAGAGAATAAATAACCAGAACAGGTTCCTTCGATAACATACATAATCACATAACAAACACCCCCCCCCCCCCCACACACACACACACACACAGACATGCCCGGAAGGGCATATTAACACAAACTGCAAACTTCAATTACGACTTGCTTGACAACAATCTAAATGTGCGAGTTTCCTCAACAAGCATGGTACTGAGTTTGTTCAAAGTAATCAAAGAATCACATAACAACCTGTGCACAGAAGAAAAGGGATATCTTAGATAAATGCCAAAGATGTACTTACAGCTAGGAGTTGTTAACTTGAGAGTCCTGAAGCAGATATCATACAAGGCCTCATTATCTAGCACCATACATTCATCAGCATTCTCAACCAACTGATGAACAGAAAGAGTAGCATTGTATGGCTCCACAACAGTATCTGAAACCTTAGGGGACGGGAAAACAGAGAAAGTAAGCATCATTCTATCAGGGTATTCCTCTCTAATCTTAGAAATCAAGAGAGTCCCCATCCCAGAACCAGTTCCTCCACCTAGCGAGTGACAAATTTGGAAACCTACACATACAAGAAACCAATTAAATGGAGTAACTAACAATTCAAAAATCAAATTGCCGAACATCAAACAATGGGTAAATATAACAACATGTACCTTGAAGACAATCACAGTTCTCCGCCTCCTTCCTCACAACATCAAGAACGGAATCAATCAACTCCGCACCCTCAGTGTAATGACCCTTAGCCCAGTTATTTCCAGCACCAGACTGTCCAAACACAAAGTTATCAGGCCTAAAGATCTGACCATAGGGACCAGTCCTCACACTGTCCATAGTACCAGGCTCAAGATCCATAAGCACAGCACGAGGGACAAAACGTCCACATGAAGCCTCATTGTAATAAACATTGACACGCTCCAATTGAAGGTCAGAGGATCCAATGTATTTTCCAGTGGGATCAATTCCATGCTCGTCGCAAACAACCTCCCAGAATTTCGAACCAATTTGGTTACCGCATTGCCCTCCCTGAACGTGAAGGATTTCTCTCATTTTTTGTTTTGCTGAAAATAAAAAATTATTGAAATTAGTGGTAAGCAAAAAACTAGTTAAAACTCTTTTAAAACAAAAGGATAAATTCTAATTTTGCAACATGGAGGACAGATCTAAAACTTAACTAAAATTCACTAGAAAATAAATAATATTTAATAAATACTGGATATTAAGAAAACAATCAAGACACTAAATAAAGCTTTAAATCCAAGATTAACAGACAGTCTAAACAGTGTAGTTACAGATCCAGCCTGTATGGCAGCAGAGAAAATGCGAGAAAAGAAAGTGTAATAAGACTGCATAGACAAAGTGATTCGCTCAAAGAAAAAAAGTCACTAATTATTCAAAAAAACAGTTTACTACTTTTCTCAGCATCCAAACAGACTCGAAAACGGCAAGAGATATCAGATCTAGAAATTGAAAACTCACAGTTAAGAAATCGGCGACTGGCGTTGAAAATACGTTGTCTCCAGTGAGGTTTTCGGCGATCGAGCAAGAGAGAGAGTGAGAGTAGAGTGAAGTAGATATTCTGGTTTGTAAATGGAGTAACTGAAAGGTTTTATAAAGGGGGAAAATAGGTGTGTGGATCGGACGGTTGATGTAGTTTCCCACTCTTTTTATTCTAGTCCGTTGGATGCCGTTGATCGTGATGTTTCAACGGTGTAGATGTTGGTTTTGATTTGACTGGGCAATGATATTTGGTTTTTGAAAATCGGGGTTTCCTAGACTAATGACCTTGTCTCAACAGATCTTGCGCTTGGGTTTTTTTTTTTTTTTTTTTAAGGGAAATTACAAATGGTTAACTATATATATGATTAAATTACTCTGAATTACCAGATTGATGCGTAGGGTGAGTTTTAATATGATTATGGTGAAAATTTTAATGTTAATTGATGTGCAAATTAATCTGAATATATTTTTATTATTGAATAATAAATAAAAGAAAAAATTAAACATGTATGAGTACAATTAGGTTCTTAACCCTGGATTTGTTTGGGAATAAAACAAGCGAAGGCAAGAAGGTAGCAGAAAAGCAAAATGAAGTAATGAAAACATTTTGTTACGTGTAAAATATTTTGAGAAAAATAGTTTCTCCTACTTTTTAGTGTAAAATAAACACTAAAAAAGTATTTTTCAATCAATCTTGAATAGAGTCTATTTAGAAGAAAATATTTTAACCACGAGGTATTATCAATTCATAATATTTACTAATATTATAAGTAATCATTTCAATAATTACTACAACCACATACGATGTCTTTACATTCATTATCACTATCTTATTATCAAGTTAACACTATTGTATTACAATAACCTTCTAAGACTATCACAACAACAACCGCCTTATCATTGTCGTTGTCACCACTAGATTACCTATATAACCACCATTCCACCGTCATTTTCATCATCATTATTTGTCATTCTATCATTATTCATGCTATAACAACAATCATCACCACTAGTTGCAGACCACCATCATAATTATCATCATCATTGTCTTTTTATTAAAGTAATCACCATTGCATCCGTAATTTTATCATTGTTGTCGCCTTCACCATTGTCGCAACAACCATCATTCCATAATCACCACCACCACAACCAATATTATCACAATCCCTACATAAATATTATCACCATAATCACTACCAGACTGCTATCGCTATTTCTATCATCATTATCGTCATCACTATCACCATCACAACTCGTTATTTTTATCATCGTTGTCACCACCACTTGTCTTTTAATTAAAGTAACCATTACCGCAACCATAATTTTATCATCTTTCTCACATTCCTCGTTATCATAACAATCATCATCATATGACCACCACCACTACAACCAATATTATCATAATCTTTTGCATAAATATTATCTCCGTAATCACTACTATCATTACTACTACTACTATTTCTATGATCAATACTATAATTTTTCTTATCTTACTATCAACATTTACAAACCACCCATGAAAAGTAATTTATTATATAAAAAGATATTTTCTTTCATATGTTTCGATAATTGAAAATAAATCATTTTTAATAAGAATATTTCTATAAAACAAAATATGATAAAAAAAAATATTTTTCATTAATGTGCTAAAATGAAAAGAAAATCAATGAAGGTAGAAAGAAAATTGTTGCCTTTGTTTTACAAAAGGAAAGGATGGAGTTAAAGAAATTCTAAATTATAACATTACATTCATGTATTTTTCTTTTATCATTAATTACATTTATGTATTTGATTCTAAAGGAGAAAATCATAATAAAGATTAAAAAAGATGAGCATTTATATTTATAGGTCATGGAAAGAGTTATTATAAATTTTATAATAACTATTTCCCTCTATCATCTCTCCATTTGTGTAGATTAAAAAAAATGGAAACATGGGAAGCATGAGAGATTTTTTTCTTAAATATCCACGCTTTTGTTATCTTTTCCTCCTAAACAAGAGAAAATGTGACACATCCCTTTAGAGAATAGTATAAAGTTTTAAATTAAGCAAAATTAGAGCCAAACTAGCAAATACTACCAAATATTAGAAAATAATTGCACCCATAAAAGAAAATTAACAAAATTTATCAATTATTTGTGTTGAAAATGAATATCGATAAAGAAGAAAAAATGAATTTGAATTTGAGATAAAAATTTAATGTGCATTTTTCACTTTACGCTTAATAAAAATGAAAATAATTCATAAGAGTTATATAATAGCTCCCAATAGTACGATGAAAAAAATAATAATAATTAACTAGTCAACTAACGGACTATCGACTAATTAACTAAGTTAGTTGCTAACAAATTACTACATTAAGTAACTATTTGTAACCTTATTTTATTTTATTTGCACTCACCCTCAAGATGAACAACAACGACAGCAGAGATATTGATTATGTTCTTGCAAGTAACTTGAATTGTTATGGATGTAAACTTTTTGGTGAAAGTATTTATAACTTGATGACTTGTAGGCACATAATATGGTTTGACTACCTATGGAATTACCTTTTCTCTCATAAAATGACGAGTCAATTTTTACATGAAACATTAAATTTTTACAAATATAAAGAGCTGACATGTTATCACAATACAACTTTGCTAGTTGAGCATTTGAATGGCCAAAATCCGATAACAATGACAACAACCAAATTATTTCACATGTTGTAGATGCCATGGATCTATATCATGCTTCGTTGAACTTTTGGCCACTGAAAATTGTTTATTAGATTTCTAAATTACTAATGAATTTTCTAGAAATATACAAAATCATGTCGCCGACCTTATTGTGTTAAGATATCTTATCCAATCACTATCTAAATATACTTTCGGATGTAGCTGCGAACAAGCAAAAAAACAACAAGCCTTGCCTAATAGCATTGTTTAAGTATCTCAACACTCTATAAGAAACTTACATATGTATATTTGAAGGTTTATCAAGAAATTATGACAACACTTATGTTGCATGGATGATATCGAGCTTGGTGAAAGTCAAATACAACAACTTTCAAACTAGTTGTACGTGTGTTACGAGTTCATAAGATATGAATCAACGCTCCTTGATAGTTTATGATTTTGGTCCATAGGTGTAGACATTGGTTTAAAATTCCTTTCATTGATAGTTTACATCCGAGTAAAGTTATCATCTTCTAACAAATCCATATATTTTCTTTGACATATTGAAATTCTTTTCATTGATCTTACAACTTCAATGCTAAGGAAATATTTTAAATTTCCTAAATGTTTTAACGTAAACTTGAGATTTAAGAATTATTTCAAGTCATTAATAGCATGAGTAGAATTACTTACTACAACTATATCATCCATATAGACAAGCGAGCATAGAAAACTTTCAACCTTTCTCTACACAAATAATGAGTAATCCGACTTGGATTGAATGAGCCTAAACTTTAAAAGTGCACCGATAAATTTGTAATTCTATTGTCTAAAAGCTTATTTCAAACCATATAAAGACTTATGAAGCTTGTAGACCAAATATAAATTAGGTGCATACTCCCTCTCCACTTGATAACCCAATAGTAAATCCATATAAACCGACTTAACTAAGTCACCATTGAGAAAAACATCACCGACATCTAGTTGTGAAAAAGTCAACCATTAATAGTTGTCAATACTAATAAGATCCTTACGAGTGGTATGCCTAGCTATTGGACTAAACGTTTCTTTTTAATTAAACCTTTTTTTACTGCATCCTTTGGTCATTAGCCTAGCTTTATATCTCTTAATACTCCTATCAAACTTCAACTTAACCTTATTAACTCACTTACAACCAATTGAATGTTAACTAGGGAGCAAATGAACAATAGTCCAGGTGTGATTATCTTTTAAAACATCAATTTTAGATTTCATAGATTCTCTCTAATGAGAAAATTTCACAATTTTAATTTTAGAATAAATTTATGGCTAGAAAATAGAAGACGAGAGAATTAGTAAAAAATTTATGAAGAGAAGATGGACGAATATTAGAAAAATAATAACATAGAGGATAAGATGTTTTATGAACAACAAAAACACCATGATTAAACTTATATTCATAGTGTCTAAGGTAAATATGCAATTTCAAAGTTCTAGTACTTTTTTCTCAAGGATGAATTATATTGTGGAGTAGGAGTTACAACAAGACTACCAAAACTTTTATTATGAAAGGGAGAAACATAAGCACGATCATGATGATTTGTACATTATGAATTCTCATAATTATGATTATAATTATCATGATTACTAAAAGTATTATGATCATTCAAACATGTCGATATAGGAGCCACATAATCACTTTAACTAGTAAAATTATACTCTAGTGATATTTGAGAAAAATCAAACGAGAGAAATAAACTAACATGAGTTAGAAGTAATGGTAACATGAGTAAAAGGATCATTAGAGTAGGGTAATATATTTTCATAAAAAAACCACATCTCTAGAAATAAATAAAGTATGAGTATGAAGATTATAAAGCTTATGACATTTGATTCCAACAGAATATACAACAA